CGACGTGTACATTTGGCTCAGTCCTTAAGGAGTTAAACAAGAGTATATGAATAGTGTCTAAAAAAACAAACAAACAAACAAAAAAAACCAACAAAAATAAAAAATTCTTCAATGGGCCTAATCCATGGGCGTGGGCCGGGAGCTGCAGCTCCATCAGCCCCTATGTTAATACGGCCCTGACAGTAATGGCACATGTTCAATGATATACACGGTATAATGTTATCGAATAGAATATACTGGCACAATTTTATGAAAAATCAGTTGGTAAATATAAAACCAAAATAAATAAGAGTGCTGTCGCCCAAGTGTCCTTCTTCCTCTCCTCTATACTACTATGCTTGTTTTATACCTATCTTAAGCATTATTTTGTTAAAAATAGTTATAACAGCTTATCTACTATACTGTTAATGCCATTATATTTCTTATTTATTGTTGTCACGTGGCCGCCCAATTTTTTTTGAAAATCAATATATTTGTAACCTTATAAATATAGTTTAGTGCAGGTATGTGTTTCTAACCACTTGATGAAACCAATTAGGGTAAAAAAAGGGTTGTGGATTTTAGATTGTTATTAATAAAATTATTATTTGGCTACCTAATTTTTGAGTTTCTGACACTTTTTTTTGCCATTTTACCGTATTAATTTGGTTTCTAAATGACATCCTATTCCTACCACTACTAAAGAATCCAGGGTGGAGATTATACCACCTATGCCTGAAACATAGAGCGAGCTGTCTGCTGTCTGCTCAACATAATGTAAGTTAGTTTTCAAATACTTGTTTTACACTTACATAAACGGTGAACACATTTGGTTTTTCCTTTTCTTTTATGTGGTGCACCTTGCTATCCTGCTGTGGAAAAGCATCAGAATAATATCTTACAAGTGGGGATTTATACCACTGGATGCTGTTTTATCCGGACCAATGAAAATGTTGCAAAAAACAGAATGTGAAACGAGACTACAAACAAAATGTGAAATCAGACAACAAACATACTTAATATCCTGATAATAAAAACCTACAGTTATTTAAATTTGCATAGAGATTTGGGATACTGTGCACATAACTTTTTTCATTGTTTTTTATTGTATGTTTTGGAACTGATGTGTAGAATAGTCACTGCTGCTGTCAAGGAGTAGTGGGAGTTTTAGAGCGCAGGGCTTAATTTTGTATGTTTGTAAAACGTGAAATGAGTACAAACAAAACAAGCAAGTATCTATATTTATTTGCCTGCTACCCATAATATAGTTGTGCCCATCCTGAAATGGAGCTTTAAATCTGCCTCAGTGCAATATTGAGCAGCTTGGGGATGGCAAACATCATTATTGACAGTAATACAAAGGTACTAGAGATCCACATACTGCGCATCCTGTCTTCACTTTCTACTTTGTTCACAATGCTATATTCATCAACACTTTTTTATGACTGTGACGAAAGTAACCTCATCACTGGCTTTTGGAGGGGCCTGTTTGCCAGCCTCCTACCCTGTGATTATGGCCATGTGATAAACTGAACCTCGTCAAGGGTTCTTGGAGGGGTCTGCTGGCCAGCCTATTGCCTCAGGACTATGGGCTCTACAATATACCTTGCCCAATGCACTTTAAAAAGCTCTGTTCGTGTGAAGTATGTACCTTTGTACTCCAGACAGAGAGATCTACCGTTAGCCCTAATTCTCTGGAACTGTTTTGGGCATTGGATCATGTGCACGGTGGGTCAAAAATAAGACTTCCAGGAATTTCCTGAACCCCTGCTCTGACCTGGGTGATTTTTGGATATGTTGTTCACTCAGATCAGGGGCTAATAGCCAAAAGGGGCGAACATGCCCAAAAAGGGGGCATGTCTGTCCAAAGAATTGGAAGGCCAGCCTGGCATCAGTTTCCCTATGTCGCCTAGTCTCCCAGTGTCTCAGTGTCATCATTTCTCCCAGTTTCCCCATGTCTCCCCCATGTGTGTCCCGTGTCAATAGGATACTAGGGGACACTGAGAGACATGGGGACACTGAGATCCCCGGGGACACAGACACTTGAGGACACTGGGACACTTGGGTACACTGGGAGACATGAGGGTACTGGTGGATACAGACATGGGGACACTGGGAGACATGGGGATACTGAGACATGGGGACACAGACACTGGCCTACATGGGGACACAGACATTTTGGGACACTATGACACTAGGGGGCACTGGGAGACATGGGGACACAGACACTGGCTGGGAGGCATGGGGACACAGAGAGACATGGAGATATGGTAAAAACAAAGAGAACGTTACCTGTGCTCTGGCCTAAATCCCCATGTACATTTAAACAAAATGGAGGCTCTTTAGTTTTATTCTAATGGCCATTTGAATATATAAGCTCACCTCCCACGTCAAGGCAAGCCTCAATAGGTGAGTCCTACTCTAGCCATTATATATGCTGATATCAGCCAAGAATCTCCAGTGAGACAGGAAAGGGTATTTTATAAACCCTTTCAAATGTAACCCTTAATAGGGCTTCTACACATACAATAAACTTTGCTGGTATCAGACAAAGTGTAAACATCTCTAATGAGACATGAAGGGGTATTTTATAAACCCCTACATACTTAACCCTGAATAGGGCTATAACACATACATATCACCTTGCTGGTATCAGCTAAAAGGCAAATTTCTCTGATGAGACAGGAAGGGGTGCTGCGCCTACTTATAAACTCTTAATAAGACAAACATGGGGAGGCTGGCAGCAATGTAACATAGCTGTGTGATATTTTTATTTATTTTTTACAGGTTTTTTTAATTTTATTATATATTTTTTTTTTTTTTTTAAATGGGCCTGGCGCTGCAGCTCCATCAGCCCTTTTGTTAATCCGACCCTGACCTTAAAGGGTTTTCATTCATGAGATCTTGTGAGTGCATATTAACAAGGATTGAGCATATTTGGCTCAATTTCTTTTTATAGATGTTACACAGTATCCCAAATTTGTGTTCTTATAAACAGTTTCATGACTTTTACCTACTATTGTTGGGTAATTTTCAAGCAAAGCCTTTTTCTTTTTGTTATACAGTTGCATTTTTATTTGTCCATTATAACATAATCATTGATTGTTTTATTGTTTGTCTACTTGTCTGGTTTTGTTTGTCTTTGTTTATTTACTTTAATGATCTCATTCATCTGCTGTTCTTGATTCTTTGCTCTCTTTCATAGCCCCTCCACCACCCTATTTTTTATATCACTTCTCAACATAGTAAATATATGCATGGAGCCTCTCCATTGTCATGCATAACATTCAGGGTTTGAAAAATAGAGTTAAAAGGGAGATGGCGTTAAACTTTTACACTTCTAAACTTTTATGCTTTTTTGTTTATGTTTATCCAAGAAACACATTTCATTGAGTCTTATCCCCATTATTAGGTCATATACTTCACTAAGGCTTGTCTCAATTCTGATAAGAAAATCATTCTTATTTGAGGAACCTCATGTTTAATGAGCTAAAAATGTCTATTGGTTCTGGGAATCTTGATCAAGACTTTGGTTTGTCTCTTAAAATCTGATGCCTCTAGTGATCATGATCCTTGATTTAATGATTCATTATTTTAAATTTTTGAGCTGGACTTCCAATGCCTTATTTTGGTAAAATTAGACTTTAATGGAATTCTGGACTCACGATTGGTCAGGTCTCCACAGGGTCCATGTAGATTGACCCACCTAAATTCTGACCTTCTAATTAAATTGGTCAAGAGAAGCTATATTTGTTTCACTTTTTTTTTTTTTTTTTTTTAATCCATAAAATCCATCACACACATATATACAAGTTTTATACTAATACATGTATATTTTTATTTATTTTTTACAGGTTTCTTTATTTTATTATGCCTTATTTTGGTAAAATTAGACTTTAATGGAATTTTGGACTCACGATTGGTCAGGTCTCCACAGGGTCCATGTAGATTGTCCCACCTAAATTCTGACCTACTAATTAAATTGGTCAAGAGAAGCTATATTTGTTTCACTTTTTTTTTTTTAATCCATAAAATCCATCACACACATATATAAAAGTTTTATACTAATAAATGTATATTTTTATTTATTTTTTACAGGTTTCTTTATTTTATTATATTTAGGACCACACTTACCGTTTTGACCTATGAGCTCACACTCATTCTTAGTCGCTCGTGGATGTACAGTTGCAAGAAAAAGTATGTGAACACTTTGGAATGATATGGATTTCTGCACAAATTGGTCATAAAATGTGATCTGATCATCATCTAAGTCACAACAATAGACAATCACAGCCTGCTTAAACTAATAACACACAAAGAATGAAATGTTGCCATGTTTTTATCGAACACACCATGTAAACATTCACAGAGCAGGTGGAAAAAGTATGTGAACCCTTGGATTTAATAACTGGTTGAACCTCCTTTGGCAGCAATAATGTCAACCAAACGTTTCCTGTAGTTGCAGATCAGACATGCACAAAGGTCAGGAGTAATTCTTGACCATTCCTCTTTACAGAACTGTTTCAGTTCAGCAATATTCTTGGGATGTCTGGTGTGAATCGCTTTCTTGAGGTCATGCCACAGTATCTCAATCGGGTTGAGGTCAGGACTCTGACTGGGCCACTTCAGAAGGCATATATTTCCTTCTGTTTAAGCCATTCTGTTGTTGATTTACTTCTATGCTTTGGGTCATTGTCCTGTTGCAACATCCATCTTCTGTTGAGCTTCAGCTGGTAGACAGATGGCCTTAAGTTCTCCTGCAAAATCTCTTGATAAACTTGGGAATTCATTTTTCCTTCAATGATAGCAATCCGTCCAAGCCCTGATGCAGCAATGCAGCCCCAAACCATGATGCCCAAACCACCATACTTCACAGTTGGGATGAGGTTTTGATGTTGGTGTGCTGTGCCTTTTTTTCGCCACACATTGTGTTGTGTGTTTCTTCCAAACAACTCAACTTTGGTTTCATCTGTCCACAGAATATTTTGCCAGTACTGCTTTGGAACATCCAGGTGCTCTTGTGCAAACTTTAAACGTGCAGCAATGTTTTGTTTGGACAGCAGTGGCTTCCTCTGTGGTACCCCCCCCCCCATGAAATCCATTCTTGTTTAGTGTTTTACGTATTGTAGATTCGCTAACAGGGATGTTAGCATTTGCCAGTGACTTTTGTAAGTCTTTTGCCGTCATCTTTACAGGACGGCCACTCCTAGGGAGAGTAGCAGCAGTGCTGAACTTCTCCATTTATAGACAATTTGTCTTACCGTGGACTGATGAACAGCAAGGCTTTTGGAGATACTTTTATAACCCTTTCCAGCTTTATGCAAGTCAACAATTCTTAATTGTAGGTCTTCTGAGAGCTCTTTTGTGCGAGGCATCATTCACATCAGGCAATGCTTCTTGTGAAAAGCAAACCCAGAACTGGTGTGTGTTTTTTATAGGGCAGGGCAGCTGTAACCAACACCTCCAATCTCATCTCATTGATTGGACTCCAGTTGGCTGACATCTCACTCCAATTAGCTCTTGGAGATGTCATTAGTCTAGGGGTTCACATACTTTTTCCACCTGCACTGTGAATGTTTACATGGTGTGTTCAATAAAAACATGGCAACATTTCATTCTTTGTGTGTTATCAGTTTAAGCAGACTCTGATTGTCTATTGTTGTGACTTAGATGATGATCAGATCACATTTTATGACCAATTTGTGCAGAAATCCATATCATTCCAAAGGGTTCACATACTTTTTCTTGCAATTGTATGTAGCTGCCCATATCTTATTTTAATTTATGTTATACATTACACCCTTTTTCATCAGTTTTAAAATCCATATGACACTTACACTTGGACAGACTATATAATGCTGTAAGCTAATTACTGATATGTTGATAACTGTATATAAGATATGTTTTCAGAATGAAAAATTATAATGCTTATACTCTAAATGTCTTTACTTAGAAGAACGTTTGGAGTAATTATAAACAACAAACGAGCAAACAATGTTCAATATTACTCAGAAGCTGGCAGATACGGTCATCTATCATAAGTGTATTAATTAATTTGGGAAAATATATTATTGTCTCCATATAAATAAACACATAAAATAACATGAATTTAGTAATTTTTTTTTAGGACTAACAGAATTTTGAAACAAGTTTTGGGAAATTGTCCCCTTCTCAAATCTGAGAATTACGACACATTGATTGCAAATTTTCAGACAAAATGGTTTTCGGATGAAATTCATCTCTTTATCCCATTCATCTGAATTCTGAATTGGAAGTCAACTGAACGAACCAAAGCGCACCGAATGATATTCTTACATGCGCCATTTGGTTTTATTTGCTCAGTCAGATGCCTTTTGCAGAACAGAAAATGGAGAGACATGGGAGTGAGCTGATTTTCATTTGTCCAATAAGCTCACTACTGTGACATGATGGAGAAGGGGCTTGTCCAATATGTCTGCTTAGCACAGAATACTGCCTCAGGGACTTTAATAAAGTGCGTGCTGCATCAGGGATTTTATAAAAATAATAAAAATCAGATTTTTTTTTTTTTAATTATTATTTTTTTGTAGCAGTATAAAAGCAAACAGGGAATCTTTCTCCTCCCTTCTGAGCTTTGATGGTGACACACTGCTGTGCTAGAGCCTCTTTGTCTTTCATTGATTCTCGGTGAGACCTGGTGAGCCTGCCATTTATTTCTAACAAACACCGGTTTACTTTTATAGAGACTTGACCGGAGACGTGTTTTTTTTTTTTGTTTGCTTTCTGTGAACTGTGCTGCTGAGTCAGTTTGCCACAAAGTGCCTAGTTGTCACAGCCAGTGCCTTCCCTGCTTTCTGTACTGCCTGCAGCAACCAGGTTTTTCTAAATATTCTTTTTAGTTAATTCAATATTTATAATACCTTAGTTTAGCTTAAATTGATTTAAATTTAGAGGAGGAAGAGTTCAGTTATTCAGCTTAGTGGGCCTGAGGGCTTCTGCCTTGGGTATACTACAAGGTTGGTTTAGGGCAAGCATGTCAAACTTAAAGGCTAGCACGGGCCACATAAACAAGGCTTAAGTTTATGTGGGCCGCCAAAAAAAAAAACCCTTAAATTTTCATAGAAACGTAGGTTTGTTTAAAAAAGTACAGTATAAATATATATATATATATATAAAAAAATATCCACCTCTACTAAACACCAGTCCCCCCCCGTACTAATTCACAGCTCTCCCTCTGTACTAATTCAAAGTCCCCCTCCCTTACTAAACCCAGATATTGTTTTTAAAAAAAAACAATATTAGCCAACAAGCAGACTCCACTCACATTGCCGCTGCCAGTATGCAACTACGGAGTCCAGCCTCTGGTGTACCCCCAATGGCGCCGTCCGCATCCTGTGCCAAACTGATCCTCCTGCTACTCCTTGAAAACCTGTGAAGGTGGAGCACGTTAATGTCACGTCAGAATGTGGCATTGCGTGCCCCGCCAGGTTCTCCACTGTCCAGCCGCGGCCATCGCAACACTGACAGTCACAGACACACACTGACAGTCACACACAGTGACAGACACACACTTCAACATTCTTGCACACACACACAACATTTTATTCATTGCTCCCTACCTTTGGGAGCTGGTGTGGGACCTCTCCCTGATCTTCTCTTGGGAGCTCAGTCTTCTTGCTCCTCACTGCTCCCGCGCGCGCAGATTAGTGGTGCCGGAATATGACGTCATATTCCGGAGCCCGGCTTCACTTCAGACGGTGCACCCGAGGGAGCAGTGAGGAGCAAGAAGGCTGAGCTCCCTCACTGCCGCCAGAGACCTCTCCCCCAGCCAGGTAAATGAGCAGAGTAGGCCCCTGCACTGGCACCTGCTTACTATTCTGCTTTAGTAAGCATGTCAAGCTTGCGGGCCACGAGTTTGACATGCTTGGTTTAGGTTATTGCAGGTACTTGAATGATAGTCTGTAAGCCTTAACCTAGTAGAGAATTAAAATGTCTAGCTCTTAGGTCCTTTATATCTAAACTAGCCAAGCCATACCAGTTACTGTTGGACTTAGATAATTTAAGTGCATCAAGCATTCATTTCTTAGAGGTGCTGCTTTGAAATGAATGCTGCTGATAGCAATTTATTTTCTGTCAGTCTCATCTAAATGTGTGTGTAAGAGTTAATTTAATTTTTTATATAGCTTCTTGATCCATCTAACTGCCATTCTGGGTCCAGAAGGAATTTCTTCATAGTTTGCTGAAAAAAAAAAAAAAAAAAAAGTTTCAAACTGTTTTTTTTGCCTTCTTTTGGATAAACAGCAAAAAACATATGTGAGAAAGGCTGAACTTGATGGACATTTTTCTTTTTAGCCTATGTAACTATATATTAGTTATTAGACTTTTTTCAGTTAAGGATTTAGTATATAATATTTAAATATCTTCATTGTAGTACAGTTTAGTTGTGCTTTGTTAGCACAGAACAGAGCAAACTTAGTAAAAGAGTCTATTTTGTTTTTACTTTTTTTACACTTTTGGTGTCTTTTTTTTCTCACTGTTTGGGAGTTCCCCTGCCCAGCCGCCATTAGTAGCTTTCCCTGGGTGCCCCTGGTTCGGCACTTTCCCTTCATGCGAATCGAACCGAAAACTGGCTCTCTGGCGGCCATTCCCATGAACCAAACCTGCAAATAGTCCCAGCGGTACTTAGCTGCGACCTCTATGGAACTAATATCGGCATGAGGACTTCGTGGGTTCCCGGTCACCTCAGCAGGACTTAGCTGCAAATGGTATGGAACTGTTTTCGGCAGGAGTTAACCGTGCGGTTCCTGGACAACTTGGTTTGCGGTTTTGAAACACTTTGATATCTGCAAGGAGAGTGCTTTTTGGAAGGAAGGTGCCTGAGATTAAGGGGCACAAACGTTACCTAAGAGCCAGACGGAGCACCCCGTATTGCAGCTGCAGGAGCTCCCGAAAGTGTCAAAAATTTAACATGGTGGCGTTTCCCCTACACTGCATGGATCTGAGTGCTATTTGGAGAACTTGGGTGCTCAGGGCTATTTAACAACGTATTATTTGTGGGGTTATTTTTATGTTTTATATTTTTATGTTTGCCTCTCTGTTCCTGGGAGATAATTCGGTTACCAGTCTTTAACACAATTATCTCCCAGGCCCAGAGATTATTGGAAGGGGCTTGGGCTGAATACAATTGAGACCCCCTGCTGGGGTCTGTGTATAAAAAGGCTGTGTTTGGATGCATTAAACGAGTTGTACTCCCAGAACTATGTGTCATCTAGTTACTGGGAGGGGAAGGGCTATAATCAGTGCTTAGCACCTTGTTCCAGCTCGTGGAGGATTCAGCGGGGAAAGTCCTTGTAAGTACTAGAGCTCCTAGGACTGTGTGTTGTCCAGTCCCTGGGAGGGAATAGAGCTAGTCCCCTACCTTGCTCCAGGATGACCCTAGTCAAGCCACAGCAGTTGGGGCTGAAGCACTGAGGTTTTCCTCTGTTCCAGCTAGGAAGCCGTCCCAGAGGTACAGGGAGCTCCGCTACAGTGATCTTTTTCATTTAAACATAAGCAGTGAAACAAACTGGTTGTTATTTATTTGTTCTTTTTAGATCATGATAGATTGACAGTGTAACTGTACTAAGCTTGGTTTCAAGGTAGCTGTAGTATATCTTTTGCTTTTATTTTAGTTTTAAGTACACAAAGTAGTTTCTTTTAAATTTAATATATATATTTTAGTTAAACAATTTTATAACAATTTAATTTCTAATATTAATAATACATTTTTGACCACCCAGCCTGTGTCTCTGTTTGCAGTACTCGTGCAGTTTGGGAAGAGGCACTTGGGTGTATAGGTACATAGCTTAAAAAAGATATACATCCATCAAGTTGAATATGCAGTGCAATTTTGGGCACCTGTTCTAAAGAAGGATATTATGGCACTAGAAATAGTGCAGAGGCGGGCTACAAAATTAATAAAAGGAATGCAACATATCAGCTATGAAGAAAGGTTAACAAATTTAAACCTATTTAGTTTAGAAAAACGTTGCCTGAGAGGGGATATGATAACATATACAAATATATTCAAGTGTGCACTTCCTGTCAGTCCCGCTGGGTCGCGGACCGGATAGGAGCTCGGCCACGCTACAGTGCCGGTGAGGTGAGGATTACTGGGGGGGATAAGATTACAGGGGAGGGGGGGAGAAGATTACAGGGGAGAGAAGATTATACGGGAGGGAGGGAGGGTGGGAGAGAAGATTATAGGAGGGAGGGGAGAGAAGATTACAGGGGGGGGGGAGAGAAGATTGAAGGGAGGCAGGGGAAGTGGAGAAGACTGGAGGGAGGGGGGGAGAAGAAGAAGATTGGAGGGAGGGTGGAGTGGAGAAGATTGGAGGGAGGGGGGGAGAAGAAGAGATTACAATAAATGGACACTATAGTCCCCAGAACCACTGCAGCTTAATAAAGTTGTTCTGGTGTATATAGTTTGTCCCTGCAGGCTTTTTAATGTAAACATACACTGTGTGCTGCACTGGCACTAGTTCATATGGCAGATCATATGGGTGGGGCATTGCAATGTCCCGGGGGGGGGGGGGCAAATCTTTATTTGCACCGGCCCTGTAGGACATGAGGTCATGCGTTTAGACTGGAAAAAAGAAGATTTCGTCTAAGGCAAAGGAAAGGTTTTTTTTACTGTAAGAACAATAAGGATGTAGAATTCTCGGCCTGAAGAAGTGGTTTTTATCAGAGTCCATACAGATGTTCAAACAGCCACTAGCTGCATACTTGCAAAAACAGAATATTTAAGGATATAATCTTTCAATGTAGGGTAATAACTGCTTGATCCAAGGATACATCTGACTGCCATTCTGGGGTCAAGAAGGAATTTTTTTTCCTAGCTTGTTGCAAAATTGGAAGTATTTCAAACTTTTTTTTTTTTTTGCCTTCTTTTGGATCAACAGCAAAAAACAAATGTGAGGAAGGCTCAACTTTATGGACACAAGTCTCTTTTCAGCTATGTAACTATGTAAGTTCAACCTTTCTCATATTTCATTTTTGCTGTTCATCCAAAAGAATGCAAAAAAAACTCCAGTCTAAGGCGCTTCCAATTGTGCAACAAACTAGGAAAATAATCCTTCTTGACCCCAGCACGACAGTCAAATATCTCTTTGGATCAAGAAGCTATTAGCCCACTAATTAGAAATCTACATCCATGTATATTATGTTTTTGCAATTATTTATTCAATTGCTGTTTAAACATCTGTATAGACTCTGATAAAACCACCTCTTCAGGCACAGAATTCCTTATTGTTCTTACTGAAAAAAACACTTTCCTTTGCCTTAGACTAAATCTCCTTTCTTTCAGTCTAAATGCGTGACCTATTATCCTATGTATAGTCCTATTTATTAATCATATCTCCTGAGGTGCCGTTTTTCCGAACTAAAGAGATTTACATTTGTTAATGTTTCTTCATAACTAAAATGCTCTATTCTTTTTATTTTGTAGCCCGCCTCTGCACTTTTTCTATTGCCATAATATCCTTCTTTAGAACAGGTACCCAAAATTGCACAGCATATACAAGGTGTGGTCTTATCAGTGATTTAAAAAGATGCAAAATTATATTTTCATCCCGAGAATTAATGCTCCTATTTATACATGACAATACCTTTCTGACCTTTGCAACTGCCGATTGACATTGCATTGTTTATTGTCTATAATAATTCCCAAATCCTACTAATTTGTTGTTATCCCTAATTCCAGGTGTAAGTTGTTTGTGCATTCTTTAGCCTGAAGTGCATAACTGCATTTTTCCACATTAAATTTTATCTGCCATTTGAGTGCCTATTCCCCTAATCTATCTAAATCCCTGTGCAATAACTTGTTTTTGTGTCATCAGCAAATACTGAAACATGGCCATCAATGCCTATTTTAAGATCATTTATAAACATGCTAAATAGAAGCGGTCCCAGAACAGAACCCTGAGGGACACCATTTACCACTTTTGTCCAGCTTGAAAATTGACCATTTATGACAACTTTGTGCTCGATTTTTAAGCTATTTTTCAAAGGAGAACAAAACATTTCATCTAGACCAATTCCTTTTAGTATGAACACTAACTTAGGAGGAACCGTATCAAACACCTTGGCAAAATCCAAGTAGATCCCATTCACTGCAACACCCTGATCTATACTTCTATAGTTGGACCCACTGAGAGAACTAGCAGCAGAGAGGAGAGTAGTGCCCTGGAAATTGTCAGAATTTACCTAATGCCCCCTTGATGCTCTCTTAGCTACTGGTTAACAAAAACAATGTATGTCCTGCATTGGTTGTACAGAAGCTGCTATCATGTACACAAACCACTGGCCAAAGTTAGCATGTGTTTTCTGTAACCGGTAATATACCAATTCTACGTGGCTCACTCATCACCTCATCTGATGGAGATTGCATTTCTTAAGTTCATATGCCAAAGTTGAGGTATCCTGCTCTTCACTTTGACTCTAATTGAGATTAGGGTTTTTCATTACTCTTCCAGGTGATGTGTTGGATATCATGCAGTGGAGTTAGAGAGAAACAAAAAACTTTGTTATAGTTCTCTCTATTATCACCTGCCAAAAACAAATATTTCCTTCCCTTATCCCCCAACCCACAAAAATCTTCCACCAAGTTTTATTGGTTTCTCCCCTCGAACTGCTTCTGTCTGCAGAGTGGCAACACCTGGTACCTCCCCCTGTGCAGCCAGCTAAGTTTAGAGTATTGTGTTTGAGCTCTGGAAGGCTGCTCCCCATGCTTAGGAATTAATGAGTTTGGATGCTTTGCCCGGGAGAGTAGATTGCCAAATGCTCACTCACTCCCTTTTACAAGTTTATTCCTATTCTACAAATCATCTCTTTCCTTATTCTTTTTCTTCAATTGCCTTCCCTTATCACCTAAAATCTACCTTAAAAGTGCTATTGGTCTCTCCTCACTTGCCAAATCTGTTTGCTATGTGGCAACTCCTGCTACTTCCACAAGCGAAGCTAGACAAAACTATGGCATTGTGTTTGAGCTCTGGAAGTCTGCTCTCCACCCCAAAAAATGAAGGCGTTTAGATGCTTTGTCCTGGGGATGAGAGAAAAAATAAATAAATAAAATAAAAAAAACCTGAAAAAAGTAATAGAAGACAACTGGAATCGGAGGAATAAGATTTTAATTAACTGCTGCAATACAATAAAGATTATTAATTTCAGAATTTTGCAATGTTTTGGGTTGAGTAATTATTTCTCAGTGACACCATAATCACTACAGTACTCTGTGGTAGGTTATGATGGCAGTTCCCTTGCACACAACAATAATAGTACATTATTCAGTACTAGTTATAAATAATATTAGAAACCATTTGTTATCAGTCACTTTCCCTATGTGTTCAGTGTACTAACTGCCTACATTACTCTAGAAAAAGGGCCCAATCACCACTACCAGTCCCAGACACAGTTACAGGCACATACCATTCAGGAACCCTGGTGATAGGTATGTCAATGGTAACAGTAAGTAATAATTTAAGAAAAACTATACTTTTGTACACAGGAGTTCATGGTTGACTCAATGACTGCAAGGTTCCTAGGTCACGTGGCTGAAAATCAAGCCCCACTGTGCTTGACAGTTGGAATGATGTGTTTGTGCTGATATGCATTTGGTTTTGTCCATTATGGCCAAACATCTCCACTTCAGAAGTCTTGTGGTTTGTCCAGATGTAACTTTGCAAACCTAAGCCATGCTGCCATGTTATTTTTAGAAAGAAAAGCCTTTCTCCTGGCAATCCTTCCAGAAAAACCATACTTGCTCAGTCTTTTTCTAATTATACTGTCATGAACGTTAACATTTAACATGCTAACTGAGGCCTGCAGAGTAAGAGATGGAACTCTTGGGTTTGTTTTTTTTGGAATTTCTTTGAGCATTGCATGGTCTGGCCCTGGGGTGACTTTGCTGGGACGTCCACTTTTGGGAAGATTGGCAATGGTCTTGAAAGTTTTCCACTTTTCAATAATCTTGCTAAACCTTCAGCTTTTACAGAGCTGGTTACACTTGCTGATGATCAATTAATCAATGACATTTAATTTGCATTACCCGATTGCTATTTAGACTCAATTCCTATGGAAGCAGTAAGGGTGTACTTTTAGTTTTTCCCACACGTGGCTTCTCCATTTTGGCTTTATTTTTGTTAAAAATCATAACACAGTGTAATATGTGATGTTGACCATGTGTGGTTGTAATTTTAAGACCTGCTATGGAACAGATGATTGTTATTATGTCCTGATATGCAAAACCATATAATTCAAAGAGGATGTACTTTATTTTTTTTGAGCTGTATGTGTGTGTATTTATTCATGGGAAAAATAAAGGGAACACTTAATCACACTTCTGTGAAATTAAACTGTCCACTTAGGAAGCAACACCGAGTGACAATCAATTTCACATGCTGTTGTGGAAATGGGATAGACAACAGGTGGAAATGGGATAGACAACAGGTGGAAATTATAGGCAATTAGCAAGACACCCCCAATAAAGGAGTGGTTCTGCAGGTGGTGACCACAGACAACTTCTCAGTTCCTATGCTTCCTGGCTGATGTTTTGGTCACTTTTGAATGCTGGCGGTGATTTCACTTTAGTGGTAGCAGGAGACGGAGTCTACAACCCACACAAGTGGCTCAGGTAGTGCAGCTCATCCAGGATGGCACATCAATGCGAGCTGTGGGAAGACGGTTTTCTGTGTCGGTCAGCATAGTGTCAAGAGCATGGAGGCGCTACCAGGAGACAGGTCAGTACATCAGGAGACGTGGAGGAGGCCATAAGAGGGCAACAACCCAGCAGCAGGACCACTACCTCTTTGTGCAAGGAGGAACACTGCCAGGGTCCTGCAAAATGACCTCCAGCAGGCCATAAATGTGCATGTGTCTGCTCAAACGGTCAGAAACAGACTCCATGAGGGCCCGACGTCCACAGATGGGGGTTGTGCTTACAGCTCAACACCGTGTAGGACGTTTGGCAAATTCACCACTGGCGCTCTGTGCTCTTCACAGACGAAAGCAGTTTCACACTGAGCACGTGACCAAGTCTGGAGACGCCGTGAAGAATGTTCTGCCTGCAACATCCTCCAGCATGACCGGTTTGGCAGTGGGTCAGTAGTGGTGTGGGGTGGCATTTCTTTGGGGGGGCCATGTGCTCGCCAGAGGTAGCCTGACTGCCATTAGGTACCGAGATGAGATCCTCAGACCCCTTGTGAGACCATTTGCTGGTGCGGTTGGCCCTGGGTTCCTCCTAATGCAAGAAAATGCTAGACCTCATGTGGCTGGTGTGTGTCAGCAGTTCCTGCAAGACGAAGGCATTGATGCTATGGACTGGCCCGCCCATTCCCTAGACCTGAATCCAATTGAGCACATCTGGGACATCATGTCTTGCTCCATGCACCGTCATGTTGCACCACACTCTGTCCAGGAGTTGGCAGATGCTTTAGTCCAGGTCTGGGAGGAGATCCTCAGGAGACCATCCGCCACCTTATCAGGAGCATGCACCGGCGTTGTAGGGAGGTCATACATGCACGTGGAGGCCACACAAACACTACTGAGCCTCATTTTGACTTGTTTTAAGGACATTGCATCAAAGTTGGATCAGCATGTAGTATGTTTTTCCACAGTTTTGAGTGTGACTCCAAATCCAGACCTCCATGGGTTGAAAAATTTGATTTCCATTTTTTAATTTTTGTGTGATTTTGTTGTCAGCTCATTCGACTATATAAAGAACAAAGTATTTCAGAATAATATTTAATTCATTCAAATCTAGGATGTGTTTTTTGTGTTCCTTTATTTTTTTTTGAGAACACACACACACACACACACACACACACACACACACACTCTATTTATGAAGATTAATCAAGATAACTTAGTAGTAGAGTTATAATCAATATCAATTATAATATGTTAAATTTTAAACCTCACTTGTAATAATATTGATATGATTACACATATTAGAAGTGAAGTTTATTGTTATACAATAACAGCGATGAGCAACAATGACAAACTCATATATAAAAAAATTCTAGACCTTTAAATATTATAAAGAAAAAAAAGGAATCAGAAGTGGTATTAAATATACATTTAATTAAATAAAGTGAGAGAAAGCAAACAAACAGAGGCAGGTTTGTCCAAAGTAATTAAGAGGATAATACAGACGTATATGTTGGGGGAAGAATAATTAAAATTAGAACATAAATAAGATAATATAACAACCTATGAACAGTGTCAGTTATGTTCACGTTGTGGACTATTAGGAGGACATTCTATTCATCATCCTCCCTTCTTTGAAAATCCTGAGCACGTCGTTTTCGAATTATGTCATCCACAACATCAATGGTCATGCCCAAATTGTGGGCAGCTTGGGCACGCATTAAAATGTACTTTTCCTCCCTCATCTCCATGAAGCGCTGCCCATGTCTTTCTAAGGAGACTATTGATGCTGAGAATTGCCTAACACCCTCACTTAAAACATTAGACATGGAGCGTACCTCTGTAATTACATTCCCTAACAGTTCATTCTTTCTCTCCCTATCCTGCTGTATGGACCTCTCCAGTACTGCTTGGCGAGCCTTGAGAGCCTCACACAGCATTACCATGTGTGTAGGAACATGTGGTGTGTCAACAGCCTCTGGTGTCATTTGCACCTCCATAGAACCGGGATCCATTTCTGGGAGTGTGATGATACCCTTCTCTGCTTCCTCCAATGGCAGTGTACCATCAGAGCCTATATGGGAGAACATTGTAAGCATCCGTCAAATATGTTTGCAATTCTATTTTGGTCTTGTTCTAAATACATTTATTTATGTCAAAGCAAACATTTTTTAAACTAATTATCTGAACAACTACAACATTATTAAAACTTGTAAATAAGATATGTAGTGATATTATAGATTACTCATTCCTAGGCTATTACCATTACAGCTCTATTGCAATAACTTATTTAATATATATATATATATATATATATATATATATATATATATATATATATATATATATATATATATATATATATATATATATATATATATATATTACATAATACAACTTCTAATGAAAGCAGCATATGGCTGGTCTAAAAACCTACTATGACTTACCGGTTTTATGACATATGCATGCTACAATAGATGACTTAAAGCATGTGTTACTTACCCTCAGCAGTGGATCCCTTTTCCTCTACATCAGTGGCTGGTTGTTGGTGGGAAAACCCTCCAGTCGGACATGGTGAAGAACCGACGAGATGCCGATGGTCTGAAACATGTATGTGATAAATTAACTTCATGTAGAGTGCAATCACAAGTGTGTGTATTGTAATGTAATTAAATAAATTATATATATATATATATATATATATATATATATATATATATATATATATATATATATATATATATATATATATATATATATATATATATATTTTTCTGTATACATACAAATTTGACATTTCAGCTCTTTATAAGAACTTTCATCAGGACATAGTTAACCCATAATTATAAAAAAAAAAAAAAAATTATAGTGGGGCAAAAAGTTGTGATTGAAAACACCTTCCACCTGAAGTGTGGATAGTTAATACAATGTTAAACAAAAATATGCACACCAGTCAAGCCATAAGACTTCCTTTTCCCACAGAAATCACAAATCTGCAGTGATGTTACTACCGCAAAGGATTCTGGGTTGGCATATGCAGTTTACTTTAACAAAGAATCACATTTTTGCCTTGTTCCATTTTAAACATGGATTCCTTTGAGTCTGTTTGCTGTATACAGCAGCCTCAATAAGCAAACCAGTAACCAACCTCAGGCTGACAATTTGCATTAAAAATGAAACAGCTGCCCATGAGTGGTTCACTGGCTTTGCATCTTTTCCCAAGTTGTGTTTCAAAGCGATTGAATACAGCAAACACAAACTCAAAAAGGAATCTATGTTTAAAATGGAATGAGGCAAAAAATGTGATTCTTTGTTAAACTAATTTGCATATGCCAACCCAGAATCCTTTGCAGTAGTAACATCACTGCAGATGTGTGATGTCTGTGGGAAGAGCAAGTCTTATGGCTTGACGTCATTTTCCCGCCCGCCGGCAGTTTGTTGAAAAAAAAACCTCTCAGTTCTGTATTCGTGAGTATAACTAGAAAGCCAGTGCACGAACGGCTAACTGTAAGTTATACTCTTTCCATACGAACACACCCCTGTACTTTCACTAGACCACACGTTCATTTAATTTTCTGTTCGGTTACCACGGCACTTAAAATAAATGGGCATTCGTATAAACTTTCATTTTCCTCACATAGAACCAATTCTTCAGTATCTATTAAAACCTGTTCAGCTAAAATACATTGTTACAATTCATTCGTACGTTGCTACCTTTCGTGTAAAACACGCGTTTCGTGCAGTCCTTTCGTAAGCGCTCACGTTCCAATTCGTATAAAAAATATCATACATAAACGTTTATACATACACTGTTACCTTTCATATAGACCCGCTTTCGTGCAATCTATCGTACATTTCACCACCTCTTACTATACGCTTGCATAAGGCAATGAGTGTTCAATTCGTTTGTTCAGCCGATCACAGCCTTGTTCTCATTAGTACTGCATTTCGTGTTTGAAATTCGTATGGTTCCATTTGCCTCATGTTTAAATTTCCTATGTTGCTATTATTCACTAAACAAACTGCATAGTATTTATGTGTTATAACGGTTCTTAAAACCATAGTATGTGTATTTTACATAGGAGTTAAAGCATGTTAATTAGCATTTTTAGGTCACCGCTCTATGCTCAAGTGCTTTCTTATACAGTTCTAAACATTATAGCATACTCTTCTAATGCACTTCTGTTATACAATGCAATTTTCATTACATATGAATGTCAATTAATGCAGTTCTGTTTCCAGGTTTAAGATTACTCACATTGGTTGCAGAGGGGCCTTCTTGGTTATTTCAACTGCAAGGTTATAGAGGTAGGCCCCTAAATTTCATACCTAATTACATTGTTATGTATTACTTTCTGGTAACCAGAACATGTATTAAATAAGACACGTTTCCCAACCACTAGTTGAACAACAATCGCCATGCCAGGACAAGCAATCCTCATAAATCTTTCAAGTTATATACGGTTAGTATCTGTCAGGCCCAGCAGTATAATTTCTATGACCAATTTCCTGGGGGTTAGGTTGTAACTCAATTATCATGACTTGTTTTAAGTTCAAGTAGGGGTCTTTTCTTACACATTTCCGAACAAGTCATACAGGATAATAAAACAGGTATGTCGAACTACAATACCCCGCTAGATTGATCACAGTTATAATAAACCCTCGCCAATTAGGTATATTCCCATAGGCCTCTTCGTCGAGGTAGTGTTCCTGCAAGGCCGATTACCGCTCCGTTCAGAGGTCCAAGCCCAAACGGCCCAACGCATAGCTATAGCCTTGCATCTAATCATAGTTAGGGCCTCACTCATCACAGCCAAAATCGATAATGCATCTTAATAGTGTCACTGAGTGGCCAACACCCCGCCACCCACCTCAGTGGCAATAAGGCCCCACGAGCCAAATCATAGGTAGAGCCTCTCAAAGCCACTTGGCAAGTAGTCAGGGCGTCACTGGTCACCAATATTAGTAAGTTAATACAATTTTGCCTCAGGGCACTAATCTAGCAATCTGGGTTACTGCAGATCCACACAATTCCATACTAACCTAAGCTACCTGCCTCACACCCTTAGCATGTCTAAAACTTCCATACAAGGAAATGACCTGTCACCACGATCAGATAAGGCACACAGAGAAGGCATGCTATACCTGCAAGCCCAGCGTCCAACTATAGGTCCTGGACGATTCCAAAAGTCACCACGGAACATACCCTACCAGGCCACAGCCAGGAAAGCTGAACTTTCAGTTGCTAAACACTCAGGAGGACGATGAAAGGCCTGGCCCTAGTTCTGAGTTTAACGTGCAAAACAGCCTATCAGAACTGCACATCATGATGGCCTCCCTTGTGTCTTCCATAGCCACTATTAATAACTGGCTAGATAATCTGGAATCTAATAGTACTCCTATCATTCTGGAGGTTCCAGTTCCCATAACCCAGCCTGAGCCCAACCCAGGAGGTAACAAGAACCCTGTACCCACTAAAACTACCAACATTATTAACCCTATCCACCTCATTCCACAAAACCTGAAGCGTAACATTATAGAAGGGAAAGACATTAACGTGGCTTCACTACTGATAGCTTCTCAAGACGTGATTGAAAACAGATCATATACGTTCGATGACCTATCAGTAGTTATGAAGTCCAGAGACCCTAGACTGAACAGGAAGCTTAAAGGACCACTATAGTGCCAGGAAAACACTTGTTTTCCTGGCTGTATAGGGTCCTTGGTTCCCCATCACCCTCTGGTCCTTGGTTCCCCCTCACCCTCTGGATTACCTTTTTCCAGCACCGGGCTCCCAGGGCGCTGGGGACTCTCCCTCTCCCTCCTCCCCCCCCTTTCCCAGTCATTGGCTGAATGCGCATTCAGCAAGCCAGTCTCATAGGAAAGCATTCTCAATGCTTTCTTATGGACGCTGGAGTCTTCTCAATGTGAAAATCACAGTGAGAAGCGCGGATGCGCCTCTAGCGGCTGTCAATTAGACAGCCACTAGAGGCTGGATTAACCCATTTGTAAACCTAGCAGTTTCTCTGAAACTGCTATGATTACAGCAGAAAGGGTTAATCCTAGATGGACCTGGCACCCAGACCACTTCATTAAGCTGAAGTGGTCTGGGTGCCTAGAGTGGTCCTTTAACATCCCTGAGTTTGTCCTGGCCTTTGGTCTATACAGAGACGTTATCTGTACATGTCTTTCCCCTCCGTAGAGAGCAACGTTACTTATACCTCCATAAAATCATTGACCTGGCATACAAGTACGGAAGCTATGCCTTTTAGAATTATCACAAATCATTTGCTTCCAGGTAAGCCGCTTCACTCACCTAATATAATACAATACGGACACCGACTGGGGTCAGTTAGACACCGAACTGTTTCTTAGGTATTTTGCGCCATATGCTCTTCAGCAGCCCACACAGTCAACTTTTGTCCTGACAACACAGCAGTTCCCACTACCAGTAACGCCAACCTGAAGTATCAATCCAATACTACAGAGTTGAGAGAGAAACAAGGCAGGCCAATTGTTTTTTTGGGTAAAGCAGTCTGTAATAATTTCAATGCCGGTGGTTGTAGTGTGCTCACTTTGTTACAGGGTGCACGCTAAAACAATGTGCCCAGTCTGTACCCTAAAAGATCCTCCACTCCAATAAACGTTGCAACGCTGCCAGTCTAATTATCCTTCTTTACATGTGGTAGAATTCCTCACATCTGCTTTTACACAGGTTTTGTTACTTTCCCCACGGGTATTTTTGAATGCCCCAACCTACAGTCAGCACTCACAGACCACAGTAGCATACATGAACTCCTACTCAAAGAAATTAACAACGGCTTCATGATAGGGCCTGTCACCTTCTGGAGAACAAACCCTCTGGGCATAGCTGCAGGGAAATTTAATAATAAAAAGAGGTTTATAATTGACTTTTTGGCACCTCACTCTTCCACTACACCTAGCTTGAATGCACTAATTGCGTCAGAAGATTTCTTCCTTCAATACACTAGGATTGAAGACGCCATACAAGTCATCATTCATTCCGGTAAAGCTGCATGGTTAAGTATAACCGACATTACTAATGCGTTTAAATTATTTCGCGACCAGGCTAACTTTCAACTCCAAGAGTAGCCCAAAGATATTTGATATCTTCGCCGAGACTTTAACCTGGCTCCTACTTAACAAGTGCAGATGTCCAGTAGTCATCCACTATTTAGACGACTTGCTCACCATCGAACCACACCAAGCAGCCAGCCTACGTCACATGCTCTCTCTATTCAAAGATCTAGGAGTCCCTGTTGCCCCAGACAAAAACAGGAGGTCCCAAAACCAAGATTACTTTCCTGGGTATTACACTTAATTCCGTGTCTATGCCTGCCAGCCTTCCCCAAGAGAAAGACAGAATTCTCTCTTACACCAACATCTGCACATCACAAGGCTCTTGCACCAGGAAACAGCTACAGTCACTACTCTGGTCACTTAATTTTGAGAATATCACAGGGGAGATTTTTCATTTCTAGAATTTTCTCTCTCCTTCATGGGCTCCCTGACAACGACTCCACAACCCTCTTAGACATACCAGCTAGAGCAGATCTTAAAATGTGGCATCTATTTCTGTCATCTTGAAATGGTAGGTCACTATTCGTCCCCGTCCCCGTCCCCCCTATTTGACGACTCCCCGGTAGTTTGGACTGACGCATCAGATACAATAGGCTACGCAGCTATTTTGGAAACGAATGGTGTACGACTCTTGGCCACTAGAGACTACCACACTAGTGAACTTCAATACCACCTCAGCACTATTGAAAAAGTCTTCCTAATTGCAGTTGCTGCACACATGTGGGGTAAGGAATGGAGTGCGCAGTCGGTCAGGTGCTGCTCAGATAACGTGGCGGCATGTGATATTAACAAAGGCCGCCCTCAGTCCCTTACCATTATGAAATTGTTGAGGAAGGACAGACAGACATACATTATATTTAAAAGGTTTGTTCGTGATTATTGTGCAATAAATGTTTTTTCCGTAGAAACCATGGTAGCATTTTACAACTTTTTGCCACATGTCTCTTAAATTAGCTTACAATACAATCAAACTTTACTTAACAGGCATACAACACTACATGTTAACCAGTTATCTCAACAAAACTCCATTTCTAGCCTCCTACCCAAAAAAAAAAAAAAAAAAAAAGTCCTTAAAGGTGTTCAGAGACTAACAGTACATAATCCCATTAAGAGACTTCCCATAGACAGTACACAGTTTAGGAGTATCTCTGATGTACTTGTCAAGTCCCCTTTTGAACAAATATAATTATTAAGTCCGCGGCTTACATAGCCTTCTATGGTTTAGGACCTAAAGAATGCTCTGTAGAAAAGGCGTCCGACTTTAAGTCATGCCTTCAGCAAAAACACCTAATTAAAAAAAAAAAAACAGGACCACTACATTTTGTGAATTACCCATACCAAAACGAGCCAAACTTGTCCACCAATAGAGATTAAAATATTATCCTACCTCTACCAAATGGTGTCCAATCCACATTTTGGATAAACTAGTGGAATACCAACTCACTTCCAACCCCGATTCCCCACTATTGGCCATTCAAGGCAAACCCCTAACCACCAAACAATTCATACTTTACATTCGTACGTTATTACTACAGCTAGGACATAACCTACATTCATTCCGTATTGGAGCAGCCACATCTGCCTCCGGAAATCACGTACAAACACATATTAAAAATATAGGTCGGTGGAAATCATCCGCATACAACAGATACATCCCTAATCCTGAGAAAAAAAAAAAAATAAGATTGGCTTTCCGTGAAATTTCTAAGTAATGTAATGCTTAAATAAATGTATCTGACTTAAAGAATCGCTTCTTATATTTTTGCCCTCTTTTACAGGTCTAACCTCATGTCAGTTTTGTCACACCTCAACTGACTTTGCTCTTACTACATTTTGTTTCTTTCTTATTATTTCATACGTCCTCTAAATGTGCCGTACACACACACACACAGGGAAATAAGTATTTGATCCCCTGCTGATTTTGATAGTTTGTCCACTGACAAATAAATGATCAGTCTATAATTTTAATGGTAGGTGTATTTTGACAGTGAGAGACAGAATAACATCAAACTAAAAAAATCCAGAAAAATGCATGTTGAAAGAAAATAAAATTATCATCAACTGATTTAAATGTCAATGAGTGCAATAAGTATTTGATCCCCTATCAGCAAGATTTGACTCCCAGGTGTCTTTTATACTGGTAACGCGCTGAGATTAGGAGCACTCTCTTAAAATGAGTGCTCCTATCTCAGTTCGTTACCTGTATAAAAAGAAACCTGTCCTCAGAAGCAATCAGATTCCAAACCCTCCACCATGGCCAAGACCAAAGAGCTGTCCAAGAAAGTCAGAGACAAGATTGTAGACCTAATCAAGGCTGGAATGGGCAACAAGACCATCGCCAAGCAGCTTGGTGAGAAGGTGACCACAGTTGGTGCAATTATTCGCAAATGGACGAAACACAAAATAATGGTCAGTCTCCCTCGGTCTGGTGCTCCATGCATGATCTCACCTTGTAGAGTTTCAATGATCATGAGAACGGTGAGGAATCAGCCCAGAACTACACAGGAGGATCTTGGTAATAATCTCAAGGCAGCTGGGACCATAGTCACCAAGAAAATAATTGGTAAAACACTACGCCATGAATGACTGAAATCCTGCAGCGCCTGCAAGGTCCCCCTGCTCAAGAAAGCACATATACAGGCCTGTCTGAAGTTTGCCAGTGAACATCTGAATGATTCAGAGGTGAACTGGGTGAAAGTGTTGTGGTCAGATAAGACCAAAATTGAGCTCTTTGGTATCATTTAAACTCACCACGTTTGGAGGAGGAGGAATGCGGCCTATAACCCCAAAAACACCATCCCCACTGTCACACATGGAGATGGAAACATTATGCTTTGGTGGTGTTTTTCTGCCAAGGGGACAGGCCAACTGCTGGCAAATCTTGGATGAGAACCTCCTTCCCTTAGCCAGGGCATTAAAAACGGGTTGTGGATGGGTATTCCAGCATGACAATGACCCAAAACAAACAGCCAAGGCAACAAAGGAGTGGCTCAAGAAGAAGCACATTTAGGTCCTGGAGTGGAATAGCCAGTTTCCAGACCTTAATCTTATAGAAAATCTGTGGAGGGAGCTGAAGGGTCGAGTTGCCAAACTTCAGCCTTGAAATCTTAATGTCTTGGAGAGGATCTGCAAAGAGGAGTGGGACAAAATCGCTCCTGGGATGTGTGCAAACCTGGTGGCCAACTACAAGAAATGTCTGACCTCTGTGATTGGTAACAAGGGTTTTGCCACCAAGTACTAATATGAAAGGATCAAATATTTATTTCACTCATTGACATGCAAATCAATTTTATAACTTTGACATGCGTTTTTCTGGATTTTCTTTGTTTATTATTTTGTCTCACTGTTAAAATACACCTACCATTAAAATTATAGTCTGGGGGGGGCGTGGCTTGGACGCCGATCGGAATGGCGGCGTGAACCCGAAGCTCCCTGCAGGCTCTGCACTATCACCCGCCTCACTAGCCCCACACACAGCAAAATGGGCAAAACAAACCGGCAACAGCAAGCGGCAGCCAACACTCCCAGGGGGTCCCAGACGCCGGGCATGAGACAATACCTCCTGACCCAAGCGGATCACGTCTCTCAGGCCTCCAGTGACTCGGAGGCCTCGGGCCTGGCCCACCCGCCCTCACCAGGCAGCAGACATCACGAACAGGTACTACTTACACCTGACCTACCCCCATCCCAGCTGGACTGGGCATCCCTATTGAGCAACCTACCCACGAAAGCTGACCTTAAAGAGGCAAATGCCGCCCTCCACAAGTCCATAACAGGGGAACTCCATGCCTTGAGGGAGGACATGCAGGGGCTACACCATAAGCTAGCATTGTTGGAGGCAGACTGTAACCATGTGACATCTGCACAAAACGCCACCGCAAACGTAATACAGCGGCAGACGCTACAACTGCACCAAATGGCCCTCCACGTGGAAGACCTCGATAATAGGGGGAGGCGGCAGAATATCAGAATTCGGGGCCTGCCTGAGGAACTTGACCAGACAACCCCAATACGAGATTCCCTCACGGAAATCTTCAACTCCCTCCTACAGCGGCCGAACACGACGCCTATTGATTTCGTTAGGGCACACAGAGCCCTCAGACCCAGAGGCCCTCCGGAGTCCCCCCCAAGGGACGTGATATGCTGTTTACTACACTTTCAAGTGAAGGAAGACATCCTGAAGAGCGCTAGGGAGAAACAACAAATCCTTCATCATGGCGCGGAACTACAACTATACCCGGACCTATCTCCAGTGACCCTGGCGTACCGACGGGCATTGCGCCCTTTTACACGCACACTACAAGCCAACAAGATCAGATATCGGTGGAACTTCCCCACTGGCATACAGGTCACCACAAGCACCAGCTCCTTCGCAGTGAAGAACGACGGCGATATGAGGGACATTGCCCGGGAACTACAACTACCGCACATACAGCTGACCTGGCCGGACCCGATGTCCTTCTACGAGTTTTCACCCGAAGCACACCGCCAGTCGCAACAGCCCACGAATAACTAGACAGCAGACCACGCGCCCCACGGGCGCCAACATATAAAAGGACTGCGCACCACCTACCTTCCATCCTGGGCCTCACCTCGACCCACCCGTGGACCAGACACACACCTCCATACCCGATTTCCAGATCCAGAGACTGTGGACACAATGCGCTGACCCATCCGAACCGCAAGTATACCTCCCACGGGAGACACACCCAGCCACATAAGCAGAGAAGCACCAGGGGGCGTACCTGGGACACAGGAGCCGGGCCACGCGGAGCCCTGTGGCCTAATTTAACCTTTTTATGATAACGCAAGGTGCAAGGGTAACGAGGGACATCTGGTCCACATATATAGGGTTAGGAGAATATAGAGTGTCCGCCCCCCCGGCTGGGTCCGGCGGCCGCCGTCCGCCCGCCCTGCGATGAACCTCGGGGAGCAGGCGGGGGATGGTGCCGGCTGGGCACACCCGGGGTGGGGACACAAGGGTTGCAGGAGAGGGGAGCGGCCGCCACTGGGCCACACAACCGCAGGGACACCTCCCACAAGAGACACGTCCAGCCACACCAGCAGAGAAGCACCGGGGGCGCCACCCCCCCGGCTGGGCCCGGCCGCCGCCGTTCGCCTACCCTGTGATGAACCTCGGGGAGCAGGCGGGGGACGGCACCGGCGGGGGACACCCGGGGCGGGGATGCTGATAAGATACGGTGGGGATGGAGGGTAAGGTCGCAACCAGGCCACACAATCCAGACTAGCCCATTGATCAGCTACACGCTCTAAACATGTGACAAGGAGGGCACGGACACGTAAGCGACCACCTGAGTGGGCACACCCAGATTGATTAAAACGAATCCAGAGACACGAGTGCCCTCGCCCTGACCCCGGATGAGGGTGCCCCCAAACCCAGAGAGTAAAGGAACAAGGGACGAGTTTGCTCACGCTAGATAAGCAACCCAACGGAGGGAGAGGGGAGCGAGGGGGGAGGGGGTGGAAGCGCAGCCCTGCACCATGGTAGAAATGTCAACTGCTTGTTATCACCTGTTGTGAATTTAATCTATATGTTATTGTTACGGTTTATGCCTTACTACGGTACCTTGAACAGACATGCTGTGCAACACACACACGCCGGCTCTCGAGCCAACACACCCCGAGGCGGGGAAGACCATCACATCCCATTGAGGTAGCATCCGGGAGCCAAAAAGGGGCGAAATGGGACCCGACTGGCCGTACGGAAGACCGACACCGATATACCCTACCACTGCCCAGTAGGAGAGACGTCACTCAGACGGTGAGTCACTCACGGGAGCCACTGGTGGCACCGTGGATTGAAACTCCCCGACGTCTACACCTAACGGTCCCGAGACCGGAACACACCCACTGGAGATCACAGGACATCTCCACGAATCCCACGATACCTTATCCCTCTCTCTACCCCAGCACTAAGAGACTTTCATAAACAAAGGGCCTCGATAGTCATGTTGCAGGAAACACACTTTCAGAAAGGGGCCAGACCCAAACTAACAAACCAACAATACACACAAGGATTCTACAGTGACTACCACGGGGGGAAAGCTAGGGGAGCAGCAATACTTTTCCATAAGAGGGTGCCGTTCCAGGAGGGGGGCTGCTTGTCGGACGATGAAGGCAGGTACCTATTCCTCAAGGGGGAAATAGCAGGCCGTCAGTACACGTTCGCAACTATATACGCCCCAAACACACGACACTACCGCTTCCTCAAACAAACACTCCACAAGCTCCAGGCGTTCAAAGAAGGGACTGTCATACTGGGGGGGGGGACTTTAATGTCGCATTAGAACCGTCATGGGACACCTCAACGGGCACCTCGCATATCCCCAACCAACAACTGCAAGGCATCAAATCCCTACTCCGGGACCACCGACTGGTCGACTGCTGGAGGGCCCACCAGCCAGACGCCTGAGACTTCACTTTCTATTCCCACCCGCACAACTACATATACACCTCACACTACGACCTTTCATTGGTAACTGACGTCGAGATCGGAACAGCCACATGGTCGGACCATGCCCCTGTCTCCCTCAAAATAAAGTCACCACTATTTCGCCCCACATCTCCGAAATGGAGACTCAATGAATACCTACTCTCCCACCCGGGAGTCACGACCCATATAGGCGATAAAATCAGAGAATACCTTGCCACCAACACGACGGAGCAGACATCGCCGACGATACGCTGGGAGGCACACAAAAGTGTGATAAGAGGTCACTATATCCAACAGGGGGCAATACTAAAAAAACAAACCGAAGCCCGACTGACCGCCCTATTAGATGACATATACAAAACGGACGAACAAAACAAACGCGACCCAGACCACACACCAGACCCGACTCCTACAACTGCGAAGGGACCTAGCGACCATACTGCATTCCAAACACCACAGGGAGGCACTTAGAAATAAGGCATTCTTTACCCTACATGGGAACAAGAGCGGTAAGCTCCTCGCTACGATGCTGAGGAAACAGAGACAGCACACATACATCGACAAGATCAGAGACAAACAGGGGTCCCTACACCGACTCCCGACTGATATCATGAGAGCGATCCGTACATACTACACTGAGCTATACGAACTCCCACAACCGACAACCGAACTGGCTAAGGCACACCTTCGCCGCTCGATTCAGGAATACCTGACTAAATACCCGATACCGACCCTAGACGTAGAAGTCGCTGACCTGGTTGACGAACCCATAACCGTTGAGGAATTAGCGCGAGCAGTCAAACTCACTAAACAGGGCAAAAGCCCGGGGCCGGACGGCTTACCGGTAAAATACTATAAGACTTACGCCGAGGATCTCTACCCACACATGGTGGAAGCATTTAACGCGATACGAGAAGGAGACCACATCCCTACCCAAGCCTTGACAGCCCATATTACCATCATACCCAAGGACGGCAAAGACAGAGAGCATTGCGGGAATTACAGACCAATATCGCTAATCAACTGCGACATTAAGCTACTAGCCAAGATCCTGGCGGTGCGCCTCACCAAACATATCCCGTCTCTGGTCCACCCCGACCAGGTGGGATTTGTGACAGGACGCGAGGCACGCGACAACACCATCAGAGCGCTCACACTTATGCACGGAGGTGGGGGCACGGACGGAGGCCTCCTCTTGTTGTCCACGGACGCAGAGAAGGCCTTCGATAGAGTGAGCTGGGACTACCTCTTCGAGACGCTATCCCACATGGGGCTGGGTCCCCACATTCGACGCTGGATAGAGCCCCGACGGCCCAGGTATTAGTTAACGGGGCGCTGACTGAGACCTTTACCATACACAACGGCACGCGACAGGGATGTCCCCTCTCGCCGCTACTGTTCGCTCTCGCCCTGGAACCATTCCTCACACACATCCGCCACAACCCAGACATAACGGGCAGGACGACAGGCCAAATACACCACAAGGTAGCGGCGTACGCGGATGACTTACTTTTCGTGGTGACCAACCCCGAGATCACCCTCCCAAACATCCAGAAAGACCTGCGGACATTTGGCGCTATATCTAACCTTAAAATTAACTACGGCAAATCCTACATCCTTAATGTTAGCGTCCCCGCCACACGCGCGGACCCGCTACGACGCAGCTTCCCCTTTCAATGGGCCGAACAAAAAATTAGATACTTAGGGGTATGGCTGACCAAGCAGAGCAGAGACCTGTATAGGGACAACTTCGCCTCTATACTACACACGTTCCAACGAGACTTGAGGGAATGGTCCTACCCGCACATATCGTGGCTCGGGAGAGTGCAGGTCATAAAAATGAACTTCCTTCCGCGCCTCTTATACCTCTTCCAGGCCATACCCACTGTCATACCAGGCCCCTTCTTTAACACACTCAGAAAAAAAAAGAAAAAATACGTATGGAACGGGAAGAGGCCCAGAGTGAAATTTTCCACACTGACACGTCCTAAAGACAAAGGGGGACTAGCCCTCCCAGACTTCCACCAGTACTACGTAGCCACACACCTGCAGAGAATCATGGAGTGGTCTAAAGACGGAGTTCACAAACTATGGAAGACAGTGGAAGAGGCAGACCGATCTCGGGGCTTCCCTGGGGCCGAGACACAACCGATAGAGGTGACATGTCCATATACACGAGACACACTATGAGAGTTTGGAGGAAGGCCGCAAAGAAAGGGAATATGGCACCGTACCCCTCCCCCCTCCTGCCCCTGACACACAACGAGGACTTCCCGCCGGGTCTGGACCCTGGAACCCTCAAACACATCTTCCCAGACAGAACCCCACGCCTACACCACTTCCTCCAAGGTGGGAAATGTAAAACACTAACGGACTTGATGGGAGAGACGCCCCCGACCTTTATGCACCGCTTCCGACATGCCCAACTGACCAATTACATCCACTCCCTGCCGCAGGGACCAGCACTGGCCAGAGACCAGACCACGATAGAAGTGGTCAGCTCACACCCAGACCCGCATGGAGTGTCCTTCTTATATTCCATGCTCCAATCAGAAACCCCGTCCGAGACACCACTATTCATGGGAAAATGGGAAACAGCCCTAGGTAACACACTAACGGAAGCAGAATGGGAAACCATCTGCTACCTTACACACCACTGTTCCACTCACAGCAAAACACAGGAAACGGCCTACAAGCTTCTAACACATTGGTATAGGACACCACATCTCCTTCTTCACGTAAACCCAGACCACTCCAGACTCTGCTGGAGATGTGAGCACCACAAAACACATCTGGTGGGATTGCGCATTGATCCAACCATACTGGAAGAGGATACACAAAATGCTAGAGAAGTTCACGGACGCACCCCCCCCACCCCCCCGAACCGGCAGCGATGCTCCTACACCACACAACAGTTCCCCGATCCAAATACAAAAAATCCATGACCATTAGAATACTTAACGTGGCCAAACGAGTGCTATAAATATATATTCTACTTAGTGGGACGCCGGCGGTCCCAAGCCTCGGCTAGATGTTACACTATATCCGCATGACCTATACGTATGCATAACACTTCATGAATTGTTATTAGTTTCCATGGTGACACGGCCACATCCCACATCACCATGACAATGAGCACGATGTCATCACGCTACTTTGACATGTTTGGTAGGCAGAGCAAGACTTGCACATGCATGGTTTACTCAGTAGGAAGCAAGCTAGCACAACATTTAACTAGGTTGAGTTTTCTAATTTATTTACCTATATTTTGTTTATTTGTATGCTTAGATCTATTTGTTTTGGTGATACGTGGGAAAGTCCAATAGGTGGACGGAAACAATCTAGTTTTAATATTGTAAATAAAGTATCTTTGGATTTTATCAAGACCGTGTTTGTAACCTTATCTTGGAGAGACACACATATACATATATAAATAAAATCTCTCAGCAATGCCATGTAAATACTTACGAGAGTTGAGAGAGGCGAAACGCATCTCCAGCGTAACAGGAGGTTGATCTGCTATCCTACATTCATAAGAAATTAAATCTCCTGCAGATCCAGTGGACTCCATTTCGCCTTCTTGGGGTTGAGTTGCTTGCACTATTGGTTTAAGAAACATATTGGAGTTAAAAAGTAAACAAATATGATAATGTACAATGACCAACAAATATCAATTTAGCAACTTACCATCAGGTGCATCAGTATCAGTTGTCTCTTCATTCCTAAGAAAAGTGTCTTGTCCCAGGAACTGCAGGTACTCCTCTTGATAAAGATGCAAGTCTGATTCTTGCACATTACTGCCTCCTGTCTGCCTGGAGGTGGCTGCTGCTTTGCTGACCTTACTCTTCACCATCTGCTTGATATTGAAGTAACATGTGAAATGGATTAATAAGGTTTCTATATGTTGATTGACATTATTAAATGAACATTATATGGTCAGGAACACAAACAGGTATGCCTGACCACAGTGTTAAAACCATCTAGCCACCCCCTTATATAGTAAAATCTTGAATTGAATCAATGCAGCTCTATAAGGAAAGTTAAGAGCCTACATGCAGAGGGTGGGGATACTGAATGGTAGCACTTCCCCAGGAACCACCTCTAGTAGCTTTTCTCTTAAACAAAAGCCGCAAGGGAACAATTCTACTCACCATTACAAGTACAATAAGCTGTAGTTGTTCTGGTGACTATAGTGTCCCTTTAACTACTGGTTTTCTTTACAATACAAATATAGTAAAGAATTCCTAAAATAAATTGGTGCCACAGTCACCTATGTGGGCCACACCACCACAAATAAAATAAGTGAAATAAAAATAAAACAATGGTGAGAGCACTCAAAAATATAAATTTTACCCAAACTCTGTCAATCAATATATAGAGAGCCACTTAAAAGCTGACTCAAGCTTCAGGCTTGAAAAACAGTGGAAACCAGAACTTCACATAGGAACTTCCAAGGATTCTGTAGCTGGTACCCTCTATTCCATTCAGGACGCCAGAATGAAGGTGGTTACAAATAAAAATGTATTGAAAATCAATAGACAGAATAAAAAACCTCTGAAGGTAAGAGGTTTTTTTATTCTGTCCATTGATTTTCAATAAATTTTTATTTATAACCACATTCATTCTGGCGTCCTGAATGGAATAGAGGGTACCAGCTACAGAATCCTTGGAAGTTCCTATGTGAAGTTCTGGTTTCCACTGTTTTTCAAGCCTGAAGCTTGAGTCAGCTTTTAAGTGGCTCTGTATATATTGATTGACAGAGTTTGGGTAAAATTTATATTATTTTTGAGTGCTCTCACCATTGTTTTATTTTTATTTCACTGGTTTTCTTTGCTGCTTTTCTGAAGATTAAAGAAAAAAAATTAAGCACAATTTTCACCTCTGTGTTTCATGAAATCAAGTAATTTAAAATAAATCACACTAGTTATAGTTGATTTTCAAAGTTATATATAGTTAATGTATTTTTTTTTCTCTAAATCACACAAATATTTTACCTTTATAATACAATAATAAAATGTAATGTTCTCAAAAAAAAAAAAAAATAAAAAAAATTGTCGCTTTGTTTTTGTTTCTCCCATTCAGCCTAGTTCAGAAAGTGGCTAATTTACTTATGTTGACATTTTACCCATCGGTAAATATAGATAAGAATAGCAGAGAAGGCCAAAGCAGAAAAAGCTATAGAAATGTGTAGATGAGCAAAAAAAATTGTCTTATAAAAGTTTTACCACAGATTTTCTAGAAAGAATTTTAGATTCTTATTATCCATAGCGCTTTACAATGAGATTCATACATTGCTTCTGATTACTACAATACAAATAATGCGTCCTCCTACAACATTGGTATACAGTAGGCAGAGTAAATACTTACTCTGCTAAGAGAATCTTGTCTTAAAGGAACACTATAGTCACCAGGACCATTACAGGTTAATGTAGTGTTTCTGGTATAGCCTGTCCATGCAGATTATTCAATGTAAACACTGCCTTATCAGAGAAAAGGCAGCATCAACATTGCTGCCAAGGAACAAATCTAGAGGTGCTTCCTAGTACAGTGATGCACTGTGTGCAGGTCTGGCATTCAGCGTCTACATGACCTGCATCGACATGCTAAACATTTCCAATAGGGATGCATTAATTCAATGCATCTTTACTTTTTAATAAAGCGACAACAAATTCCACAGCGCTTTACAATGGGTGGACTAACAAGAACAGAATGGGGTTGAGGGCCCTGCTCAAATAAGAGATATAGTGACACAAAAGGCAAGTGTAGGGTAGAAAACCTAGACGGGACATACTTGTGTATTAGGGAGGATAGGAAGATAGGAGCATTGTTATTTAACGATTTGTAAGGAGGTTCCAGAAATTTTAATTGAGTTCTATATCTCATGGGAAGCCAACCCAGAGATTGACAGAGGGGGGGGAGGCGTGGGCTGACAGGTAGATGAGCTTCTCGAGTGCGTTCACGATAGACTAATGTGACAAGTTGGGAAGAACACAGAGAAGCGGATTATAGTAGTCAAGGCAAGAGAGAACACCTAATATAGATATGGATGCACGCAATATTTTTGAGATGGATGAGGTAGATTTTGGTGATCGACTGCACAAGTAGTAAAGGAGAGGTCAAAGAACACCTAGGCAGCGAGCCTGCGGGGTAGAGCTGAAGGTAGTGCAGATATGAAAGTAGAAGCACTAACGGGAGGAAAGAAGTTCTGTTTTGCTTAGGATTTTCTGTGCTATGCATCGCTGGACGTCCTCACGCTATGTGAGGACCTCCAGCGTCGCTGAAATACCCATAGGAAAGCATTTTCAATGCATTGTCACGCATGTGCATTAGGTCTCGCCCGCCAGATGATGTCAGCAGGGGGAGGAGCATGGGTGGACTGAACCAGCGTCGAGGGACATCAGCACTGGACTGGAGAGTCGCTTTAAGGAAGTGAGCAGCCATCCAGTTAGAAATAACAGAGGCAGTCAGACAGGAGTCAAAAGGGACGGCGAGAGATCGGAATGGGACAGACAGATGTGAGTGTCATCCACATAGAAATTATATTGGAAGTCAAAAGGAGCTGATGAGTGTTCCAAGGTAGGCAGTGAAGATCAAGAACAGGGGACCAAGGACAGAACCTTGGGGAACACCAACAGAGAGGTATTGCGTAGAAGAGGCAGAGAAAGAAACACTGAAAGAACGCTTGGAGAAGTAGAAAGAGAACAGGGAGAGAGCAGTATCACGTAGACTGAGATTGGGAGAATGAGAAGTTGTTAATGATCAGTGTTGAAGCAGCAGAAAGTGTATGGAGAATTAGGATAGAATAATGACCACAAGATTTTGCTGCGATTAAATCATTGGATAGTTTGGTCAGAGCGGTTTCAGAGTAATGAGCACACAATTCAGACTGCGTTCAGCAGTTCTGGTTGTACTTGATCAGCTTGGTCTGCCAAGGTTGCAATTGGGGTCGCTTTCTGCATTTCAATGTAAGAGGTGCCATGATATCTAGTTGAGATAAGAGGGTGGAGTTGTAATGGGAGGTTGCAAAGCTAGAACAGGTGAGGTTTGAGATAGGTAAAAAAAAATAAAAAAAAAAATTAAAAAAAATTCGAAAAACAGAGTTTGGAGGCTAGTGGAGAATCACAGGAGGTCAAGACAGTGGACGATTCTCTGAGACTGGTGAAGGCGGTACATAGATTGGTGAAGAGTTGCACAAGAGTGTTTCCCATTGTGTGAGTTTTTGAGTTAGACCACTGTGGGAGACCAAATGAGGAGGTTGAAGAGATAAGTCAAGATACATCAGGGCAGTTAAAGTTGTTGATTGGGATATTAAAGTTCCCAAGTATAAGGGAAGTAGTTCTAAAGGAGGAAAATGTAGGGTTGCCAGGAAGAGAAAAAAATAAAAATAAATGAATGCCCTAGGATGACTGTGGGGCTTAAAGGAGTGGGTTTAAGCAGATGGACAGTGTGAACTTTAAAAGGAAGGAAAATGAGGAGATACTGAATAGCTCAGCTGCTTATCTACTATAGCCTCCCAAAGGTTTCCTACGAGAGAGCACTGGATTAGCCAAGATCATCAAAAGACTGAGGAGTTAAATAGTTTAGCAATATAGTGTTAAGAATACATGTTTTTCCATTTTCACGATTTTTGAGAATTTCCTTTTTGCATCCCCACATTCCCACCACACATTCTGTGCATCTCCCAGAAATCCACCACTGTGCATCTCTCCCACATTCTCTTGTGCTTTACACCAAAATACCCAAAAAGTCAAACTTACATATATCAAAAACTGATCAGCATTTAAAAACAAAAATCTATTTTTTTTTTTTTTAAATAAATATCCTCAATGAGTAACAGTCACTATAGAATAAAAAGGATTTTTAATGATAATGAGGGTGTAGGTAAGCAGGTGAAACATCCCAAATCAGTTCCTGCTTTCTGGTTTAAAAAAATAAAATAAAAAAATAAAAAAATTAGATATATAGAGAGAGATATAGAGATATATCTCTATATCTCTATGTGGTAGAAATGGAGCGCCTTGTGGTTGTCCTCAAATACAGGTGATAGTAAATATGTAAATGAAGACGATGGGAAAGCACATTAAAGTGCAGTATCTTCTAAAAACTGGTGAAAAAGAATACACAAATGCACTCACATTTTTGTGGTGCTACAGTTCAGCTCCAAATGATAGTGCCTGGGTGGTTTAATCACCGCCTAAGGATATGCTGGTACAGTAGGGCCTTGGCAGATGGTGTGTCTGGATCTGAACACAATGGTGTTGTTTAAGTGTCCAAGCTTGGAAGCAGAAAAATCACACACACGTAGATTTTTATGTAAAAGAACACAGTGCTCCCTATTAAAAAAAAAAAAAAGTCAAAAATAAAAGGAGATAAAAATATATATATATATATATATATATATATATATATATATATATATATATATATAGTTAAATTAGGGGCTCCTCTAAAAAAAAAAAAAAAATATTGGGTTTGTCTGGTTGGATAGGTTTTAAAAAATATCATCTTGTATTAGTTGATTTCAGTCAGATTTATTAAAGTATCTATATTATCTTAGTTCTAATTCTTTTAAAAAGTTTTTGGTGTCCAGCTTGTTCTTGGGGAAAAAAAAAAAAAAAAAATTGTATTTGTGCAAATGTGCCTCAACCTCACTAGTGAACTTTCTGAAATACTTTTAACCCCTTAAGGACCAAACTTCTGGAATAAAAGGGAATCATGACAGGTCACACATGTCATGTGTCCTTAACCCCTTCAGGACGGGTGACGGACGAGGTCCGTCACAGAGGGGAGACCCTTAACGACATGTGACGGACCTCGTCCGTCATGCGGTAAAATTAACCCCGGATCGCCGCGATCGCGGGGTTAATGGTGCTCCCGGTATGCCTCTGCATTAGAGGCATACCGGGAGCACCCGGTCAGTCTGCCCAGCACATGTGCTAGCTCTGACCGCAAGTCAGAGCGAGCACATGTGCTCTCTATACTCACCTACCGGCTCCCTGCACTTCCGGGTTCTGTGTGAAGTGCAGGGAAACGGATCAGTGCTGATCCTGCCCCCTGCTGTAAAAAAAATAAATAAAGTTTATTTAAAGTCCCCCCCCCACCCCCTATCCATTTTAATAAAAAATTAACCCCTTCCCTGCCAATTGATCACTGACTACAGTGATCAATTGGCAGGGATTACATTTTACTATGATCTGATTTTTTTTTTAACCCCTGAGGGTTAATTCTTTTTTTTTTTAACCCTCAGGGGTTAAATTAATTAAATTAATTAATTAAATTATTTTTTAATTATATATTTAGCTAGCTGGGGTAGGTGGAAGTTAGTGGGGAATTGGGGGATTTGACGTTAGGCTAACTAGGGGTTAACGTTAAAAAAAAGTTTTAAAAGAAACTTTAAAAAGTTAAAAATTAAGCTTAAAAAATGTTTTAATAACATTTAAGTAATAAAAACAAAAAACCACACTTTACCTAGTCCAAATAAAAATTAACCCCTTCCCTGCCAGTCGATCACTGCCTACAGCGATCAAATAGAGATCACAGTATTATACTGTGATCTAATTTTTTTTAACCCCTGAGGATTAACTTTTATTTATTTTTTTAACACTCAGGGGTTCAATTTATTTAATTAATGAATTTAAATATGTTATAACTATATATTTTGCTAGCTGGGTTGGGTGGGAGTTATGGGAAAATGGGGAATTTACTGTTAGTGCTGCGTACTGCTAGTTAGGGGTTAACGGTAAAAAAAAGCTTAGAAAAATGTTAAATCTGTAAAAAAGTTTTAAGAAAGTTTAGGAAAGTTTTAAAAAAATTTATAAGCAAAACAAAAGTTTAAAAACTAGTTTTTAAAAGTAAAAAAAGTTATAAAAAGTAAAAAAATACATTTTAAAAACGCTCATTACCACTACACCTGGAACAAACTAGAGAAAAAATTATCCCACGCCAAGGTTCAAAATATGCCTTTTGAATTACCCCAGGATGTATTTTTTAATAAATAGTATGTGTTTGTGGGGAAGTTTCAATAACCAACCGTCTAAACTACTCCAAATTGGAACATGGACACAGCGTAAAACTTCAAAGTTAGAAAAAAACTGGCTGCGTCTCAAATGCGCCCCTTCAACATCCACATATACCTGGCAAAGGTACATACGGGGGTATTGCTGTACTCAGCCGACATAGCTGAGCAACATATGAAGTATTATACAGTCGTAGCACACATAAGGTTTGCAAAATATACTGTGCAAACTCACTTTGTATGTCAAAAAGGCAGAAAAATGCTTATTACCACTACACTTGGTACAAGCTAGCGGAAAAATGATCCCACGCTGAGGTTCAAAATATGCCCTTTTGAAATACCCTGGGATGTCTTCTTTAAGAAATGGTATGGCTTTATGGGGAATTTGGATTATATAGCCTGGTAAAATACTCTAAAATGGGACATAGGCACAGCATAAAAATTCAAAGTTTGAAAAAAACTGGAATGGCTGTGTCCCAAATGTGCCCCTCTGATGTCCACACATACCTGGCAAAGGTACATACGGGGGTATTGCTGTACTCAACCGACATAGCTGAGCAACATATGAAGTATTATACAGTCGTAGCACACATAAGGTTTGCAAAATATACTGTGCAAACTCACTTTGTATGTCAAAAAGGCAGAAAAAACGCTTATTACCACTACATCTGGTACAAGCTTGCGGAAAAATGATCCCACGCTAAGGTTCAAACTATACCTTTTGAAACACCCTGGGGTGTCTACTTTAAGAAATGGTAGGCCTTTGTGGGGTTGTTTGAATTTAAAACCTGCGAAGATGCTTGGAAATTGCACATAGGCCCAGCGTCAAAATTAAAAGTTTGGTAAAAACGGATATGGCTTGGTCTCCTATATGGCACTGTAGCTTCACGAAATAGTGCCAAAGACATTCATTGGGGGTGTCTTTTTACTCAGAAGACTTAGCTGAGCATAATTTGGGAGGTTTGAACTTAGTGGCACATATGAAATATACAAAACGGCCAGCAAAAATGCAATCCGTATGTAAAAAATGCACAAAATTATTTTTTACCACATACTTTGGCATATATTGGTGAAAAAATGGGGGCATGTTAAGGCACAATATGCACCTTATGAGATAGCCTGAAGTGTCTACTTTTACAAATGGTAGGCCTTTGTGGGGGTTTTTTGAACAGTCAAACTGTTATAATACCCCAAAATGGAAGCTAAGGCTCATTAAATCCATCTCTCAAAATTCTACTGTGAATACTGAAAAGGACAGGTATCCTGTATGGCACTGTAACTTCACGAAATAGTGCAAAAGACATACAATGGGGGTGTCATTTTACTCAGCAGATGTAACTGAACACAAAATAAAACTTTGTACAGGAATAGCACACACCAACTTTACAAAATATACACGAGAATTTCTCTGTTATAAGTTTGTGTGCCAAAAACCAAAAAGAACACAATTTTACTCCAATATTTAGCAGAGGTTGGCGGTGAAATGGCTACGTAGAAAGTGTCAAAACAACCTTGGGTAAATAGCCCGTGATGTCTACTTTATATAAATATATACTTTTGTGTGGCAATTTTGTTTTCTTTTATGGCTATTAAGCTTACAAGACAAACATACCAAATTCTAAAGTCGCTCCACATTAAAAGTTTATTTTACTCCTTGTGCTTTGTGACCTGTAACTACCAAAAAAAACTTAAAATCCCAGACACATTATATATTCTGTAAATCAGAACAAATAAATTTATTTTTAATTACTTTCCTTAACCTGCACTAATTATGCACACATTATTATTGCAAAAACTGTAAAAAAAAAAAAAAAAAACATTTTGCATTTTTTTTGCATTTTTCTGTATTTTTTTATAAGTATATATATATTATGTTATATCAAATTAAAGCCCTTTCTGTCCTTTAAAAAACAGTATATAATATGTGTCGGTGCAATAAATGAGAGTTGCAAATTGCAGTTGAACGCAAACAGCAAGAAAATGCAAAAATTGCTTGTGTCATTAAGTGTAAGTCAAGCTTCTGAAGCTGTGTCCTTAAGGGGTTAAGGGCTCTTTTTACATTTCTGTGGTGTTTGTGTTTAGCTGTAATTTTCCCACTTACTCATTTACTGTACCCACACATTATATACAGTTTTCTCGCTATTAGTCTTTCTGAAGATACCATTATTCTCATATAATTTACTATAAATTTTGTAATAAAACATTATCCCACACGAAGGTTCAAAATATGCCTTTTTAAATAACCCAGGGTTTATTCTTTAATAAAAAAATGGTACGCATTTGTGGGGTAGTTTTAATATCCAGCCAGCTAAACTACTCCAAAATGGAACATGGAGACAGGGTACAAATTCAAAGTTTGATAAAACTGGAAAGGCTTTGTCTCAAAAAGTGCCCCTTCAACATCCACATGACAAAAGGTACATATGGGGGTATTGCTGTACAGCAGATGACAGATAAGCAACATATGAATTATACAGCCGTAGAACACAAGATTTGCAAAATATACTGTGCAAACTCACGGTGTGGTTAAAAAAGGCAGGAAAAAATAAAATGCCTATTACCACTACACTTGGTACAAGCTAGCGGAAAAATTATCCCAAGGTAAGATTCAAAATATGTCTTGAAAATACCCTGGGTCTTCTTTAAGAAATGGTAAGTCTTTATGGTGTATTTGGATGTAGTATGCAGCCTGCTTTTAAAAAAATAATAAAAAATAAAATAAAAAAATAAGTGCTTCAAAATGGAACACAGACTCATCAAAACCATCTATGAAAATTCACACTTGAAAACCTGAACTTGTCACGTCTTTTAGAGCACTGCAACTTCACAAAATAGTGTCTAGGTCATACATTTGGCAAATTGTTTTGCTCAGAAGATATAACGGAGCATAATTTGGGGGGATTTCATGACAGCGGCACATGTAGCGGACCATGGGTAGCACGACCGGTTACCTCCACTAATTAGCTTCCTTCAGCCATTTAGGAACAATACAGAGTATCAGGAGACCCATTTCAACCCAGTAACTGGACGAGACAGCTCTGGAAGTACAACATGGACTATACTCTTTATTTCGTCACACATTGTTTAAATGCACAGACCCCTACATTGGGTCTTTAGCACAAAACAGGGGTTTCAATCCCAAGAAGATGATGGGGGATGGAAGAGGGACAAAGCAGTCAGTTCAAACTGGCCTGGCAGTGTCCCTGTAGCATTGCCCTGCTGTGACAGACAAAAGAAGGGGGAGAGGCACAGACAAGGAATACATTTCACTTAACTATTCATTACAGAGCTGCTGCATCACCCCCTGCCCCCCTTTGTTGACCCACAGCTGCATATACAGACACAAGTAAAACAGTCCCAAAAATGGCACCACTAGCTTCTGGCCCGCACCAAAAAATAAATAAATACACAGGCAATCACATCTCCCTCCATAGAAAAAGACAGCGAGCGCATGGCACTCAGTGACAGCGTTCCGTCACACATCTCCCCCCTTGTCCACATCCGACAGCCGCAGCATGACCACACAGTCTGAGTGCCATGCCAATAACAGCAACTGTTCCATGAGTTTAGGGTCTAGCTGGATTTGCAACCTCCTAGGTACAGGGTGGCTTAGACATAAAGCGTCTTTAGCCAGGGAGGCATCCCGCCCAGGCTCCTGTACACAGGGGCCTCAGAGCCTGCAAAAAACTCCACGCAAACAAGAGTGCCCCCGATCATTCCATCAACTGTGTTTCTGACATTTTCCTGGTTGGCTGAGGATGATGGGTGCCTTTTGGGGCGTCCGTTCCTGTGCCTTGCTGGGGTCGTGGCTGTCTTCTGCGGATTAGACCAGACTGTGCTCTCCCCCTAGCGCTGCTTGGGATACTGGGGAGGGAGCGAGAAATACTCCATCTCCCCCTGGATCTCACTCCGCTGCTGGGGAGACAGACTGTGCAGTCTCCCAATAGCATACTGTTTGCTGGGGAACGAGACCGGTTGTCTCCGTTCTCTGGACTTCACACTGCCGCTGGGGAGGAAGTACGCAACACTTCTCTCCCTGGGACGCACCGTGCCCTCTCGCTTGATAGTGCTGCTGTGCGCTGGAGGTACTCTGACACTATTTTCCTCATGTGCTGTACATATTTCTCAGCGGGGTTGGGCCCATAGTAAGCCAACAGCATCTTGTCAAAATTCTTCCTCACTGTAGCTGGGCGCCATGCTTGTTCCATTAACAAAGGCTGGTTACGTTCGGCTGGGAAGTACCATCCCACCAATTGTAGGGGACCACGGGTAACCCGACCAGTTACCTCTGCTAATTCGCTTCTATAATGAGCTCCCTGTAGCCCTGGCTGGGTATCTCCGCCAAGGACCGCTTCCTAGACTGCTTTAGGCATCAAGTGTAGTGGACACAGGCTTGGAGACTATGGTGAGGCCTAATAGAAAGCAGTTGTTGTTGGGGGATTCAGTCATAAGAGGTGTGGAAATGGACAATGGTGGTCTTGTGGGATGTCTTCCCGGAGCCACTGCTCACTGAGACAGGAGACGTATTTGTAATATTGTTAAGCGAGCAAAGCAGGAAGGGGAATTGGAGGTACTTGTCCATCTAGAGACAAATTACTTGGCTTGCAATGAGGTCTCAGAGGTAAAAGAAGTTTAGTGTTTTTGCATATGATATACAGCAGGTTGCTTCCACACGGTCATTCTCTGAAGTTCTGCCTGTACAGAACACTCAGAACGACAGGCGGATGCGCATTAGGGACTTTAATTTGTGGCTTGGTGTATGGTGTCGGGAGCAAGGATTTGGCTTTATTTATCATGGTAGCTCTGTTTGGAATGGAAATAACCTGTACAAAAAAAGATGGTTTGCATCTTTCTCAAAATGTAACAAATGTTCTTAGTGAGCAGTTCAGATGTTTTGCTAGGATGTATTTAAACTAGGGGGGGGAGGGGGGGAAAAGGGTGATAAAACATCAATACAAGTGCCCCCAAAACAAGGACAGAAGGTGCCTGTAGCAAGTGTGTTAAAAAATTACAAGCTTAGAGTCAAGTCTACAAATGCTTGCAGCTTAGGGAATAAGATCTATGAACTTGTGGCAATAATGGCAAATGATAATGTAGATTTAGTCGCAGTTACGAAGACATGGTATAATGAGAAAAATGACTGGGACATAGCAATACCAGGGTACCCTTTATATAGAAAAGACAGGGAAGGCAAGAAAGGGGGAGAGGTGGCCCTGTATGTGAAGGATAGCATAAAATCTAGCCTAAAAAAGTTAGTAAGCCGAACATAGAGTCCGTTTGGGTTACGTTAGAATTTGGGAATCACACAGTAACTAGTGTAGGTGTGATTTATAGGCCCCTAGGACAAATAGAAGCGATAGCTAAAATGACAATGAAGGGGAAGTTATAATCATGGGTGACTTTAATCTTCCTGATGTGAATTGGAAAACCAAAATAGCTGCTTGTGCTAGGAGCACACATATTCTAAACTCCCTACCGGGATTAAAAACATTTTTTAGATACATAAAAGAGAAAAGGAAAGTAAAACAATGATTAGTAACAAAAGAAGGAAGGTATATAGAAAAGGATAAAGGTCTAGCTGACTGCCTCAATTAATATTTTTATTCAGTATTTACAGATGACAATGAAGGAAAGGGACCTCAGTTAGGAAATATGTAAGTGAATCATTTGTTACATGTGACTTTACAGAAGAAGAGGTTCTATTTCAACTGTCAAAAGTAAAGACAAATAAGTCAATGGGACCAGATGGAATACACCCAAAGCTACTAAAAGCTTAGTGGTGTACTAACAAAACCATTAACAGATTTATTTAACCAATCATTGTTAATAGGAGTAGTCCCAGAAGATTGGAAGTTAGCAAATGTTGTTCCCATTCACAAGACAGGTAGTAGGGAGGAGTCAGGCAACTGTAGGCCAGTAAGCCTTACTTCAGTAGTGGGGAAAGTAATGGAAACCATGTTAAAGGATAGGATTGTTGAACATCTAAAAACACATGGATTTCCTTCAGGGAGATCATGCCAAACTAATCTTATTGATTTTTTTGATTGGGTAACTAAAATAATAGATCAGGGTGATGCAGTAGACATTGCTTACCTAGATTTCAGTAAGGCTTTTGACACTGTTGCACATAGAAGGCTTATCAATAAATTGCAATCTTTAAATTTGAATTCCAATATAGATGAATGGGCAAAGCAGTGGCTGGGTGAGAGGCAACAGAAGGGTTTAATCAATGGAGTATATTCGAAGCATGGGCTCATCAGCAGTGGGGTACCTCAGGGATCTGTACTTGGACCCATTCGCTTTAATATTTTTATTAGTGATATTGCAGAAAGTCTTCATGGTAAGGTATGTCTTTTTGCTGATGATACTAAGATATGTAACAGGGTTGATGTTCCAGGAGGGATAGGCCAAATGGCAAATGATTTAGGTAAACTAGAAAAATGTTCAGAGCTGTGGCAACTGACATTTAAATGGACACTATAATCACCTGAACAACTTTAGCTTAGTGAAGCAGTTTGATAGAAACATTTAAATACAGAAAAGGGAATCAACACTAAAGATGGAAACTACCACAACAAGAGGACAGTCTTAAATTAGAGGGACAAAGGTTTAAAAATAATATCAAGTATTACTTTACTTAGAGGGAAGTGGATGCCTTCCAGCTGATATGGTAGAGGTTAATACAGTAAAGGAGTTTAAGCATGCGTGGGATATGCATAAGGCTATCAGAACTATAAAATAAGGTAAGGGACTAATGAAAGTATTTAAAAAATAAAAAAATAAAAAAAAAGTTGGGCAGACTAGATGGGCCAAATGGTTATTATCTGCTGTCACATTCTATGTTTCTATGAACTGCTCCTTCCTGGAGCTGAATGAGGAATTAGTTCTAGTCCTTACAAGGACTTTCCCCGTTGAATCCTCTGCAAGCTGGAACAGCAGACACAGGAGTAAGTCTTCTTTCACTCCAATAACAGGATTACACAGTTTAGTGTAAGCTGGAATAGGTTTTAATGGAGGCACACTGGCCTTTTATGCAAGTTTCCCCAACAAGGGTGACACCCAGGTGGACCTAGTAGGAGACACTCCAAGTGGCGAAAGTAACCTCGCCACTTGTACTTGGAGGGGCCTGCTTGCCAGCCTCTTGCCCTGTGACTATAGCCCCTGGGATGTATTGCCCTTTAACAACACTATTTGTGCATATTGGGACGTCGCACAATGCCCCTTTAAACTTTCGAATTGGAACTTCGAACTACCGAACAATCGGACCACACACACACGTAAGAGTGTGCAGCCTATTTACCTCCCAGGTTGAGAGTTAACCGCAGCCAAATTGACGAACGGCTGGGTAGTCGCCGTTCGTATAGTCGAACACGCGGCGGCCATCTTTAGTCAAACGTGTTCAGCTGTGTTGTCGTCGAGTTCATGGAACTCAACTAGGTCACGCGACGGCACGAACACCACTGAACTTAACCTTCTCTGGAACTTCGACGGGAGTCGAACGGCACGTTAACATTTGCTATTTGCATGAACAGTTACAGTTCGGCTATTTGAACTGAACTTAGACCGCCCTCACCGCCTATTTTTCTGGGACTGATTTAGGCATGAAATCATGCGTGCGGTCGGTCATAAGAGACTTCCATGAATTTCCTGAACCCCTAACTCTAATCTGGGTAATTTTTGGATATGTTGGTTATTCACCCAGATCAGGGCTATCCGGGGATCTAATATTTATGGGGATATGTTACGTTTGAGTGTTTTCTTTACTTTGGGGAAAGTGTGTTTTTCTGCCTGTGGATAATTAGGTTGTTTTAGCTATTTATTTCACCTGCAAAGGGGAGGGATTGTTTACTGTATGTGGGAGTGTCGTATCGTTAATGACTGTTTTAATTGGTTTACATCCCTTGTGTCCCTGTGCTCCCTCAGGTCCAGGGGGTGTGCCTCTGACAAAAAAAAAAAAAAACTGTATAAAGCACTAGCTTGCATTAAACAGACTTGCTTTACCCCTTCATGAAGTCTTGGCTCATGTTTGGGGGATGGGATAACTACACTCTTGGGGATTGCTATAATCACAATACTCCCCTGAGTATACGTTCTTGTAAGAGCTTGTTCCTGCTACGCTCCCTGGAGTAGGAGAGGTCTGCCTACTGGAAGCCGGATCCAGGTCTTGTGTCCAGGGTGGGTGAAGGACAGTGAGACCCCGGCGCAGCTGCATCGCTGGAAGTGGGGTCTGTAGTACTTATCGAGTCTGGTGGAGTGCTTGTGTGATGGGATTTCAACATGGTTAAAAATTTAGTAGGCCTGAAATCTCCATGTGGCATATACAAGTACAGGTGTTTATTGCATCTGTTAGTTACATGTAGCTAAGATCCGGTCATCAATGTACTGAGCATGTGCATCAACTGTACTCAAATTCTTTTGTCCTTAAAGGAGTCATGCAGTCTGCCCATAAGAGGTGAATATACTGTTCACGGATTGGTCTACAGGTATGTGTGAGTGGAGCTATGAATTGGAGGAGTTATTGTTAATAAAAAGCATTTGCAATCTGTGCTCCGACCAGATCGGTAACAATAAAGACCTTTTTCTTCCTGAACGAACCTGCTTCCATTTCTCCGTGTGTGGCTTCCTCCTGCAACACTGAGTCCTCGGCAAGCACAGGAGCATTGATCGGCGGAGGTACTCGCTCGGAGTGCCAGGCAGTCCGTCACAACTCCCGTACACAAACAATAGAATCCACCCACTCTGTGCTTGGGAGATAATTGAATCAGGAAATGTACTAATCTAACAGAATTATCTCCAAGCACAGAAAAACCATACAATTTTATGAAACCACAAAAAGTACCTTTAAAAAAAAAACAAAAACAAAAAAAAACCACACACATAAAACATTATAAATAGCCCCGATCTGGGTGAACAACATATCCAAAAATCACCCAGATCGGTTCAGGAATTTCCTGGAAGTCATAGTTTTGACCGACTGTGTACATGGTCCTATGCCCAAAACAGTTCCAGGTAAATCAGTGCCAACAGTCGGACAAGTTCGGTAGTCTTTTACAGGTTTCCTTGCAGGGCCCATAGTCTGTGGGCAGGAGGCTGGCAAGCAGTCCCCACCAAGAACCAAGAAAAGGGGAGTTTGTCACAGCTTCTTTCAGCCGTTTAGGAACCTTACCAAGTATCAGGAGACCCATTTCCCCCCCAGTAACTGGACGAGACACAGCTCTGGAGGTACAACACTGACTGAACTCACAGACCCATCAAAACCATCTATGCAAATTCACACTTAAAAACCATGAACCTCCATACCCCGATGCCTCTCTCACGATACAAATCCTCCTTAACCAAGCACCTCTTCAACGCAGCCAAGCTCATGGTCCCGGTTCGATGGTCTCCCCAGGTGCCTACCCTCCAGCAGTGGATGGACAAAGTGGAAGAGATACACGAGATGGAGAGGCTCACGGCGACACTAAGACAAATACCAGCAATGTTGGACCCCATGGATACTCTACCTGTCCAGAAGATAGGAAAGCCACACAAGACTCTGCAGCCGTGGGGGGAGGGGCTGGGCACCCGGAAGGGCCAGGGGTGGGTGGTTGATAGTCTGGGCCTGGCGCCCCTCCCACCCCATCTACCTTCCCTTCCCTCACCCTAAGTACTCCCCTCTCCGCAACTGGTGCCCTGGGGACGGGAGGCGACGCGGGAGATGCATTGCCATGAATACCCACATTAAAAGGCGGGGGGGGGGAGGGGGCTGAGTCGAGGGGGGGGTCTGGAAACCAGACATGACTAGGGAGAGAGAACGTGGACCTAACGACCAGGTAGGCTAGCCCAAAAAAGGAGAATGCCCCATAGCAACCCACCGAAGAAGAGAGCATACAGGTTATACGCTAAACTAGAGGAGGCATGTGTCCGTAGAGTACCCGAGCTCAACTGGCCCTATGCCATGCAGGTTTTGACTGACTGAGAGGGTCGGCCTACATTGGACTGTATCTGCATCACCGAAATGACGAGGGCAGAGACACTCTTTCTGCCCGATACCCATCCAATGGGCACAGCTGCCATGAGCAGACCGGTATAGCCTAGGACGCCTGACCGGACGAGACGGGTCACCCCTACATTTTCCCCACACACTGTCCCAAGTAAATTAAATTTTAGTGCCACTGGCATATAGGCATAGACACAGCTAACAATATGCTGTCATATAGACCACAAAGCGTAGAAGATCATGGGCACATTCAGCAAGCACTAGCCTCTTGAGATAGCAACAGAGATGATGACACTAATTCAGAGAGATGGGGAAAATTAGACCATGTAAGCTACATGAGACTATTACCACCAATGAAGCCAAGGAAAGAGCTTCTAAATTTGCCACTCACATAAAAAAACACCATAGCATCAAGTACAACAAAGAGACGGTTAGAGGCAGAAAAATTGTTTTGTTGAAGTTGTTTTACATGAGCTGTTACGCATACCCAATGTATCACTTGCACTACATACTTGTTATACCCTATGTTGACTTATTACAGATCTACATAAAATTAAAAATAAAGATTGTAAAAAAAACAAAAAACAAAAAAATATGAACTTGTCACGTCTTTTACAGCACTGTAACTTCACAAAATAGTGTCAGTGAGTATGAGTGTGTCAGCATGTGTGCGTGTCAGACAAACTTGAAGCTTGTTTATGTGGCCGGTACCACACTTTGAGTTTGACATGCTTGCCCTTGAGTGTCTGTTTTCTCAAATGGAAGCTCTTTGTGGGGTTATTGGAACAGTCAAACTGCTATAATGCCACCAAATAAGACATAGCCCCATCAAATCCATCTATGAAAATAATTCTAACTGTAGAAACTGAAATAGCCTTGTCTCTTATATGGTATTGTAGCTTAACAGAATAGTGCCAAAGGCATACAATGGGGGTATCGTGCTCAGCAGATGTAGCTGAACACAATATGGGGTTCTGTACAGGAATAGAAGACAACCGCTTCATGAAATAAACATTAAAAAACCTTATGTGTTATATGCGAAAATAGAGAAAAAACAAAAACAAAAAAACAATTTTAATCCAATATTTAGCAGAGATTGGCAATGAAATGGCTATGTAAAAAGTTTAAAAATAACCTAAGGTCAGGGCTTGACAGATTTGCTTGGAATCAGCTAAAATTAGGAGTTAGGAGCCAGTATTTTTTTTATAACTAACAGCTTCATTTTGAGCGACATAAATACAATTCTTAAAGGGACACTATAGTGACCAGAACCACTGCAGTTTAATGTAGTGGTTCTGGTGTCTGTAGCCTCTCTTCAGGCTTTTCAATGTAAACACTACCTTTTAAGAGAAAAGACCGTGTTTACATTGCTGCTTAGTAACAACTCTAGTGGCCATCACATAAACAGCCACTAGAGGTGCTGCCTATTCCTCTTTTCAGTATCTCCACACTCTGCATAGAGGCGCTGAATGATCCCCCATAGAGATTCATTGATCTCTGACAGGGGTCCTCAAACTCAGGCCCCCCAGAGGTTGCTGGACTAAAATTCCCATGATTCTTTGAATTACATAGATTGCCAGAGAATCATGGGAGTTGTAGTTCAGCAACATCTGGGGGGCTGGAGCTGGAGGACCCCTGATCTATGAGGAGATGCAGATTAGTGCATGTGCAATAGCCTCTCAATGCTTTCCTATGGGAAAGAATTGGCTTGGCTGAGAACATCAAGATTGATGATCTAAGCAATGGAGGCGGGTCCAGTCTGACGAGATCTTCACGGCGTGAGAATAATGGTGACTAAAATCACCTTTCCTGTGCAATCAGCAGGGGACTGGTCACCTAAACCCGAATACTCACTCACAGACAGGAACACTCACACAGAAGTTGATTTAAAAAAAAAAAAAAATTGTTTTGATTGAAACCCACCCAGCCTCCCTACCTTTTGGAGAGCTGGAGTGGATAGGCTTTCCTTGGGGTCCAGCGGGGCTGCTGTTATGTTTCTGCTCTGCTCCCTCTCGCACACCTTTTAGTGTGTCTGTCTGTTAGGGCGCGCGCGAGGTAGCAGAGCAGGGAGACTACAGCTCCCTCACCACCCGACTCAATTTCACAAAGCGGTGGCCGGCCGCCTCCGCTCTCCCACATGCCTGCATTCTCCCTTGCAGCTTTGGACTGACATATACCAGATACAATTACTAGTCGCCATGGCACCTGGGATTTGTCAAGTCCCGCCATAGGTAAATAGCCTGTGATGTCATAAGCGTTATGTTTGGAAGCAAAAAAAAAACAAAACAAACAAAAAAAAAAAAAACATCCTCATGGCTCACAAATGTTTTAGGGGGGTGTGAGCTCTAAAGGCATGGGGCATCTTGTAAAAATTGATGGGAAGATAAATGCAGCATGTTATCGGAAAATACTGGCAGACAATTTGCATTCTTCTGCACGAAGGCTGCGCATGGTAATCTATAGGACTTTATAGTATCGCAATCACCCTAAGCACAATGCCAAGTTGACATTCCAGTGGTTACAGCAGAAAAAGGCGAAGGATCTGGAGTGGCCATCACAGTCTCCTGACCTTAATATCTTTGAGCCACTCTGGGGAGATCTCAAATGTGTGGTTTATGCAAGATGAAAATGACTTGGAGGAATTTTGCCAAGACAAATTGGCAGCTATACAACCTGCAAGAATTAGGGGCCTCATAGACAACTATTACAAAAGACTGCACGCTATAATTGATGCTAAAGGGGGCAATACACAGAGTTAAGAACGAAGAGTATGCAGACTTTTGAACAGGGGTAATTTCATTCTTTTCTTTGTTGCCATGTTTTGTTTTAGGATTCGGTCGTTCTGTTATAACGTGCAGTTGAATATAAATCCCATAAGAAATAAAAGAATTGTGTTTTGCCTGCTCACTCAGGTTTTCATTAAAAATGGTACATATATTACCAATTCTCCAAGGGTATGCAAACTTTTGAGCACAACTGTATATACAGATACAAACATGGACACACATGCAGATGCACAGACACACTAATGACACACAAACACACCGCCACACAGGCACAAAGATACAAACACACATACAGTTACAGAAACACTTATATACCCATATAAATACAAACACACATTCAGATGTACAAACACACAAATACAACGACACAAAAATCCATGTACAGATACAGGCACACAAAAAAGTAACAGGTTGAGGGGCGTAGCCTAGCAGACTGGTCGCACTCTATGTGCTCCGTAGCATCAAGCAAAAAAAAAAATAAATAAATAAATAAAAAAAAAAAAAATAAAAATCGCTAAAATAACTATTTTACCCCCAAATCGCGAGACAAGCTGGGCACCCCTAATAAGCACAAACGAGATGGGCAGGAAAAACAAAAAACAAAAGCCAAAACAGCCCCAGCCAGGTGTGTGCATAGGAGATCTCTGGCAGTGGGCACACGGCACTCTGGAGCCCAACATGGCTGCTTATGTCGACAACGACTTTGCTGAATCCGATGAGCAGTCCTCGGATGCAGAGGAAACCTGCTTACCTACCTCGCTGGTACAAACACAGCCCAAACCGCAACCGGACTCAACCCCAGTCATAAAGTCGGTCATGCAAGAACTGCTGGCGGACCTCAGACGGAACATCCAGGCTGATATCAGGAAAGATATCAAAAGCCTGACAGGCTGCATGGGGACCCTGGAGCAGGACTCCCACAACCACACACGACAAGCCACTCTGCTACAACAGGAATTGAAGTCGATACAACGACAACACCTGATAACTGAACAGAGGCTGATGGCATTGGAGGATTCACGCCGCGCTCAAAACGTCAAGATACAAGAGACTCCATTCTAGATATGGAGCAACCAGCTGCAGCAACCAGGGACTCAATCGTTAGATTCCAGAGGCGACAGGACAAGGATGCAGTTAGGACTGCAATCGGGGGAAACTCACCATGTTTTTTTGAGGGTATGGCCCTTACCTTCTACACGGATCTATCCAGGGGAACAATGGCTTAAGCGAACATCCCTCAAACCCTTTACGTCCCTGCTACGTGCACACAACATCAAGTATCAATGGCGCTCATCCCACAAGCTCTTGGTACTCCACAGAGAAGCTACGTACTCCATTGCAGATCTGCAGGAGGCAAAGACACATCTGACAACCCTGGACCTTCCACAAGTCTCCTTAAAAACATCCCCGCTCAGCTTCCAAACCCCACGAGTGGAACCCAGCAATGTCTGAGACATTTCTCCCCTGTAGCATACGGATGGCCACTACGGGTCTGCAGGGCCAGGCCACCTACACCTAATATTGCTAAATGTTTACAGTTATTTTTATGAGCGTTACTCAAGTTTACACTTCCATTTGAGGTAACTACATACCATACAATGACAAAAACAAGAATAATAGGTTGCGCTACAAGAATATCAAATAAAAAGAGATAAATATGAAAAACACTTATAACGTAAAGGAAAGATAATATGTGTAAAAAGAAGGAAATTTAATAAATATATATAACTAATATGTATAAAAGAAGATAGTCCAAATTCTTGATATACTTTAAAAAGTTCAAATAACTGAATGATAGTGACAGTACTTGGTATATTTCTCTTTCAGGTTCCGGTAAGTATTTGGAAGTAGAAAGTCCAATAAGAGACTGAATCTTCTAATCTTTAGAGGAGTCTTGATTCAGAGATGAACATGGAAAATATAAACAACAAAGACGATCCAATAGTGTAGACTGTCTGTGATGATTAATAATGATAATAGGTAGGTAGGTAGGTAATACACTCACCTATCTTAGAGCATGAACTTGCTCTGGTATTTCGGGCATTCAGTGGCGTTTATCCCCCACTGGTAGGATATAGGTGAAGGTAATTCCTCGGTAAAAAAGGAGATAAAAGCAGAATATAGTGCTCACTGAATCAAAATAAAGTAAAATGAAATAAAAGAATAAAAATACTCACATTCGAATGAGCAGGATAAACTGCTCAGTATATTCGCATAGGTGGTACAATCCCCACCAAGGATTCTTGGTCGTGGGTAGATTCCAAGTTGGTGAATGACCAGGTGACAGGAAATATTTTTAAAACAAAAAAAATTTATTTTAAAAATCAAAAAAGAAGGTATATGGCAAAGTTGTTGTAAAGAAGCCACTATTCCTTTATTGATACAATAAAAAATATAAAATGTATGTAAAATAGCCAAAACGCGTTTCGCCACACAGGGCTTTATCAACTGGCAGTAATAAAAAATCAGCCTGGTACATAGATACTTTTATAAACTATGCTAAAACATGCTTATTTGAATTTTGGCGCCAAAATGACGTCATCCATACAATGTGTAAAAAGCAAAATGATTCATTACATGAAAATATTTACAAATACAAAATGCATAGTATTTATAATTTAAAATATAAGGTAATACATAATGATTAATAGTAAAACGAGTGTTATTTGTTGAAATAATAAATTAAATCGAGAATCATGTGATCGCAATCTGATGCTATCACATGGTGAACACTGGGGCAGTGTGGGAAGTGTAGTAGCAAGGGAGAGAGCAAGAATAGATGGTCACGTGATCGCGGACCTTCGCGATCACGTGACTGATTGCACACATCGATATGGAATGTGGCCGCTCAGACGGAGGTCGGCAGACTGCAGCACGCCTCCGTCTGACATCAATGGTGGGGGCGGTGTATACCGCAAAAGCTCATGGGATATGTAGTGTTCAGACGGAGGCCGGCAACAAGAGGCACGCCTCCGTCTGACATCTACAAAAAAGAGGCGGCGCCTAATGCCGATCGGGAATACACCTTGTGAAAAATAAAATTAAGTGGCATAACAGCCAAAATAAGAGCAAATATAAATAAGACAAATATGAGTATATAAGACAAATATGAGGTAAAAAAAAACAGATTTTGGGTATGTAGAAAAATAAAAAAAAAGAAGAATAATAGGACTAAAGGAAAAAGTGTGTATGTCTTTTCTTATGAATATGGAGCAGGATTTGTGACAATGTAGGTAAATATTTGTAATTAAGTGAAATTTCATTAAGAAGCAATGCACATGCATATATATATATATATATATATATATATATATATATATATATATATATATATATATATATATATATATATATATACATATACATACATACATACATACATACACACACACACGCACACACACCTTGGTATTAAGACTGATTTTCCTGTATTCAGCATTCTTTAAATGTGTCATTTTCTGAATCAGTTTTAGAATAGCCCCATTTGGGCACAAAAAAAAAAAAATAATTAAAAAAAAAAAAATTAAAGATTATTTTATAAAAAATTAAAAAAGGTCAAATTCAGCGTTCAAGCCTTCAGGAAAAAAAAAAGTCTTAAGTGTAAAAACCCAGTACATTTCTCTTTTTCCTAAGGTTTTTACCATATCTCCACCTCTCCATGAGAGAGTAACTTGTTCTATACCAGTTACTTTTAGGAGTGTCGGGTCTTTATTATGTATTAAAAAATGCTTGGAAACTGAGTGATTCTCATAACCTCTCCTAATGTTACGGCAATGTTCTGCTAATCTCACTTTAAGGCATCTTTTAGTCATGCCCACATATTGCAGCCCACATGGGCATTCCAGTAAGTATATCACATTTTTGGTATTACAACCTATATATTCTTTAATTGTGTAAGAGGTTTTAGTAATGTTGGAGGCAAAATGAATAGTTTTAGAATTTGTAATTCCTTTAGTCGTTCTACACACAATACATTTGTTACACTTAAAACAACCTTTTGGTCTAGATAAGAAAGTTTTATTTTGTTGTACATTCTCTCTTGTATAGTTTTTAGTGAGGATGGTTCTGAAATTGGGGGCCCCTCTAAACACAACATTGGGTCTTTCTGGGATGTAGTCTTTTAAAAGGTCGTCTTGTTTAAGGATATGCCAATGTTTATTTAGAATTTTTTTTAAAGTTTTATTTTTATTGTTAAAATCCAAGATAATGGGTAATTGAGGAGGATCTACTTTTTTCACTTTGTATTCAAGGAGCTCCTTTCTTTGTTTAGTTTTAACTGTCTCTAAGGCTGTATTTAGCTTGTCTGCCTCATACTTTTTGTCTAAAAACATATTTTTCAATGAGGTAGATTGGGCATTGAAATCAGCTGTTAGGGAACAATTTCGATGAAGACGAAGGAATTGACTTTTGGGGATACCATCCAACCACGGTCTATGATGGCAACTAGTTTGATCAATAATCTTATTAGTGCAAACTTCTTTAAAAAAGGTCTTAGTTTGAATACGTCCATCTTGAATAAAAATATTTAAATCTAAAAAATTGACTGACGTTTTGCTAAAATCTGAAGATAAAACTATGCCTCTATCATTAACGTTTAAAAAGTCTAAAAACAATTTAAGAGAAGTTTCCGAGCCTTGCCAAATCTGTTTTTTTTACCTCATATTTGTCTTATTTATATTTGCTCTTATTTTGGCTGTTATGCCACTTAATTTTATTTTTCACAAGGTGTATTCCCGATCGGCATTAGGCGCCGCCTCTTTTTTGTAGATGTCAGACGGAGGCGTGCCTCTTGTTGCCGGCCTCCGTCTGAACACTACATATCCCATGAGCTTTTGCGGTATACACCGCCCCCACCATTGATGTCAGACGGAGGCGTGCTGCAGTCTGCCGACCTCCGTCTGAGCGGCCACATTCCATATCGATGTGTGCAATCAGTCACGTGATCGCGAAGGTCCGCGATCACGTGACCATCTATTCTTGCTCTCTCCCTTGCTACTACACTTCCCACACTGCCCCAGTGTTCACCATGTGATAGCATCAGATTGCGATCACATGATTCTCGATTTAATTTATTATTTCAACAAATAACACTCGTTTTACTATTAATCATTATGTATTACCTTATATTTTAAATTATAAATACTATGCATTTTGTATTTTTAAATATTTTCATGTAATGAATCATTTTGCTTTTTACACTTTGTATGGATGATGTCATTTTGGCGCCAAAATTCAAATAAGCATGTTTTAGCATAGTTTATAAAAGTATCTATGTACCAGGCTGATTTTTTATTACTGCCAGTTGATAAAGCCCTGTGTGGCGAAACGCGTTTTGGCTATTTTACATACATTTTATATTTTTTATTGTATCAATAAAGGAATAGTGGCTTCTTTACAACAACTTTGCCATATACCTTCTTTTTTGATTTTTAAAATAAATTTTTTTTGTTTTAAAAATATTTCCTGTCACCTGGTCATTCACCAACTTGGAATCTACCCACGACCAAGAATCCTTGGTGGGGATTGTACCACCTATGCGAATATACTGAGCAGTTTATCCTGCTCATTCGAATGTGAGTATTTTTATTCTTTTATTTCATTTTACTTTATTTTGATTCAGTGAGCACTATATTCTGCTTTTATCTCCTTTTTTACCGAGGAATTACCTTCACCTATATCCTACCAGTGGGGGATAAACGCCACTGAACGCCCGAAATACCAGAGCAAGTTCATGCTCTAAGATAGGTGAGTGTATTACCTACCTACCTACCTATTATCATTATTAATCATCACAGACAGTCTACACTATTGGATCGTCTTTGTTGTTTATATTTTCCATGTTCATCTCTGAATCAAGACTCCTCTAAAGATTAGAAGATTCAGTCTCTTATTGGACTTTCTACTTCCAAATACTTACCGGAACCTGAAAGAGAAATATACCAAGTACTGTCACTATCATTCAGTTATTTGAACTTTTTAAAGTATATCAAGAATTTGGACTATCTTCTTTTATACATATTAGTTATATATATTTATTAAATTTCCTTCTTTTTACACATATTATCTTTCCTTTACGTTATAAGTGTTTTTCATATTTATCTCTTTTTATTTGATATTCTTGTAGCGCAACCTATTATTCTTGTTTTTGTCATTTCTCTTTTGAGGACTATAGAGGGAACCCCATACCTATAGGCTGCAGCTTCCTACTTGACCACATCACACAGCGCTGATCCATTTTCTACCTGTATCTACACATACCATACAATGTCCACTTGCTGATACTTACCAAGCCACCACACACACGATCTCTTCCGCACCAACAGGCCGGGGTCGCTGAGACCTCCCCACTCCAATGACAACAGCTCCTGCTGCTCTGTCCGCGAGTACATCCCCCGCGGGAGAAAAAAACACATACAGAATACCGCTCACTCCGACAATTCCCTATCCTATGTACAACCATCCACCATGTTTGTATTTCATAGCTCTCATGTTATACTAGAAAAGCTACAATTTCTGGGGAAATTGTGTGAAGTGTTCTTGCCTCCACCAGTAGTCTACAACTGGAGTGGGCAGAGAAACTTATCATTTATATAGCACATTTAATTGCAACGCTGTTGCACAGTTACATTAAACCATACATTTATAAAAACATTAGCAGGTGTTCAAAAGGCCCTGTCTATGACATCACTTGCTGCTGCAGCCTGACACAGGTCAGAGTATTTTGGCGGTTGCCATCTTCAAACGGTCGTATTTTAAAAACTATAAATCCTACAGCGAAGAGCTTTATATTGTGAGAATCACAAGACCCAGACCTACATTTTGATGCATAGTATGTCTCTGAAGTATTAAAAATGAAGGCACAGTCGCAGTTTAGAAATTGCACTTCAAATTTGAGCTTTGCAGAGTGAAGTTTCAATGAATGTCAATGGAAGGCGTGAGTTGCAAACAAATGGTCATATTGTGAAATCTATCAGGACTATGGCTTAGCCGTGGACATTTCTAGTGGCAGCAGGGATAGCTGAACGTTTTGATATAAGATTTGTGTAGGTGGGCTTGAAAATGAGGGAGTGGTGGCAGTTTAGAAATCATGTCCTGATTTTTCAGCTTTTGCCAGCTCCCACTCTAGCTTTGCCATTCATTCCTATGGGACATATTTCGCCACAAGAACGACGATATTCCGTGAACCATTCGGCGAAACGTTCCACAAAGTAATAGCAATCCGATCGGGAACAATCTGCACGTTTTGGTAAATTTTTGTCTATGTAGTGTAAAAACTGGGAGGAGTTAGGGTGGCAAATTTGGCTATAATAAGAATAATATATATGTGAGATAACATTAAGTGGTCTTGCTATGCAAGAACACTTAATAAAAAACTGAGCAGTGTTTTTCTCATGCCATACTACTGTTTCAAAACATGTAACTAAATGAAGCCTGTCAATGCTGTTGTGGCACTGCAGGCACACTTGTAATCATTTGCACTCAAAAATAAATTTAAAAAAAGTAACGGCTTCTCAATTCCTTCCAGCAGTCCAATCAGGTCCATCGGGTGCCTTTAAGTAAACTGGCCACCCGAAGGGCCCCCTCAACCTGTTGGCAGTAGATCCATCATTATCGATTTTTGTTTTCCCACCTAACCCAGGCAGAACTAATTTGTAACCCTAATGGTATGTGTACCACAGGTGGGGAACCGCTGGTGTAGTGGATGCAGTGTGTCTTTAGTGAATGCATTGTGTGTGTATGTGTACATTGAATGCACAGTGTGTGTATTGTATGCATTGTCTGTGTTTGTGCAGTGTCTGAGTAGTGCTTGTGTGTAGTGTCAGAGTAATGCATATAATTTGTGTAGCTGATCGAGTGTGTGTAGCGGTCTGTGTAGTGGATGCATTGTCTATGTAGTGGGATTAGTGTCTGTGTAGAGGATGCAGTGTCTGTGGTGCATGTAGTAGATGCAGTGTCTGTATAGTGTATGCTTCTGTAGTTGGATAAGTCCTGGGGTGGGGAGGGAGAGCAGGTTTTTTATTTATTTATTTATTTATTATTAATTGGGCTTATTCCGCTCTGCCTACCTCTTACATGTGGCCAGGAAGGGAGGGGCACTAGTTTCCCTTGTGGTTCAGTGGCACTTGCTGTTTAGGATTATGAAGAGGAGGGCCCAGAAGAAGTCTGATCTTTGACCTCCAGCAGCAGCAGCAGCAGATCCTCTCCTCCCGTGAGCTGCAAGCTCCAACACATGCTGGGGCGTTGCCATAGCAAACCACTACAGGAGAGGACCTGCTGCCACTGGAGGTGGAAAATCAGACTCCTCCTGGGCCCCCTCCTCTTCACTGTGAGTGCTAAGCAGGGGGTAGTCCGCCCCAGGTGCCACTCACTATGAGGGTGCCTGGGGCGCACTTTCACAGCCCCTGTGTCTTATGTAAAGGGACCGGCCGCTTACAAGAGTATCCACGCTCATTTCCCATCCAGCAGTAGCAGGACCTCTGTTCTCTTGATCCGCAAGAGCAGAGGTCCTGCTGCTGGATGGGAAACGAGCGTGGGGAGTTCTGGGCCCCTCTTCACTGCCCATCTATGCAGGACCACCAGGGAATTTAGCCTATGTCCCCTCCCTGGACACAGATAAGAGTGTGGGGGGGAGAAGTCACAATGCTCACCTTCCCAGCACTTATTCCACACAACACACACACACTGCATACACTATACAAACATACACTTATACATAAGTATCTATGTATCTGTTTCTGAATATTAGTATGTATGCCTATGTGTATGACTGTGTTTCTATGTAACTGCATGTGTGTACCTTTGTCTATCTGTATGTGTGCCAGTGTGTGTATATACACACACACACACACACACACACCTCAGCATTTCGCCTACACTAAACACAACTACAACCCTGCATCCAAAACGTCAACTCTACATAAAAACACACCATATTTAAAAAAAAAAAAAAAGCCCCACACACACACACTTAAAAAAAAAAAAAAAAAAAAGCACGCCTGCATTCAAAAGCCATTACGTGCAAATACACCCATACCATCACTCACACATACTCCATACAAAAACCATGCTTACATTAAAAATATACAAACACTGCGCAGTGCTAAATACATTTTAAAAAAAATTGCAGATGTTACATTTTAAAGAGTGTGTGTTTGCTATATAAAGATAGTGGTCCCACCTAGTGCCATGGTTCCATCATGACATACAGGCTTAGCTCCAAAATAGGAAAATTGGTAGTTATGCAGCACTGGTGGCTAAATGCTGGCAATCCAGATGCTGTTTACATTTCTCCTGATGGTTGAGACTCATGAGATGTGCTACACTACCAATCCATGATAGAATAGCTAACCTTTGGCAAACCAGTTGTTGTGTACTCACCTACTTAAAATGCCAGCCTGGCTGAGATTCATGGGAGATGAAGTCTCAACGGCTGGAGTATTAACTAACCTTTACTGCAATCCTCAGTCCCCAAAACTCTTAAACCAAAGGTGCAGAGGGAAACATTCCCTGCCAATACGCAGTACACTACAGACTGCAGTATTCCATTACAGACATGGCAGCACAGCCTGCACCACATTTCATATCGGTGCCAATCACAAACTACACATTGTATTTAGTTTAAATAGCAAAATCCCACCCTTTGATTGCCAAAAGGGCCTCCTCTGCCATTAAAAGGATTAAAACTAAAGCTTTTCTTACCAGTGCAGCAGATCCAGCACAGACAGGCGTAGCTGTGAATAAAAGGGAGTGGTAAACAGCTGCCAGCCAATACAGGTTAATAAAGTCTGAGTGACTAGAAGAGAGGCCAATAGGATGAAAGGAGGGAATCTTCGGGAAACTGGCCAATAGGGTGAAGCAGAAACAAAGCGAGTTGGAATGGTAGAAATGAATCTGGGCAATACCATCATGGAAAGGGTGTAATGGTAACTGAAAGAAATAATAAAATCAATAATATCGTAAAGCACTACAATATCATGTACTCTGCCAAGTGAGAATATGAATAAAAAGGCAGAAACTATAGGGCTCGAAAAGCAGACTCAGTGGACCCCGGAAGTTTGCTTGGACCAGAGCAGACACCCCTTTTAACATGTGGTAATGATGGCCCTGGATTAAATGGAGAAGAACAGAGCACTAAAGTTACTAAAGCATGCTGACTGCAAGTGGTGTATGGTTTAAAGCTGCACTGTCATACCGAATTTACCTTTCTTCTTCTCTCCCTGTCTCAGGATCTGTTCTTCTTTTCTTCCTAACTGATCTAGTTTTCTTTAAAACATAAGACAAAGTAGGACTACTTTGTCTTCTGTTTTTTTCCAACACTTGACCAGCTCAAGTGGGTCAGATAAATATTCCCACAATACTCACCCTTTCCCTCTGTGATCTTGCGATGCCTCCCTTCACTATTCCCGAACGTCCTGTCATTTAGACAGGACACTGGCGAAACTACCAAATTTCGTCCTAACAGAATGAAAATACTTTCTCCATTCTTGTTAGGACGTAATTCGGTACTTTCTGCTACATTGGAATTTCATTCGAGGGTATTAGGAAGCTAAGTAAAGTAAAGATTACTTAGTATTAGTACATAAGGGAGTTTTAAATCTCCCTTCTGCCCCTACTTGCTATGCCAAAAGTAGCGGCATTTCTACTAAACAGTGAGCCTTGTCTGATAGGTAAATTTGAGCTTTGCAAGTAAATTTGAGCTTTGCAAGTAAAGCAATCAGAGCACTCTTATTGGTTGGTGTAAACCAACCAATAAGAGCGCTCTGAGTCAACTTGCAGGGGGTGGGTAGGCTTTATAAGCCCTTCTCCGCCCTGCGGAGCTCAGTCTGCGCGGTGCCCTCCCTGGGTGAAAATGGATTACTTGTTTTAGAGTCAGGTTTTTCTTTTCTCGGCATGTTTTTTATCTTGCGCTCAGATTTTATTTTATGAGTTTGATGGGAATAATGGATTTTTATTTGGTCTTTTTGGGGGCTGAAAAAAGAATGTTTAAGAAACAAGAAAACATCTAATGGTAAGTATGATTTTTTTTTTTTTTTTTACTTACAGATATTTAGTTTTTTTTGTCCTCCCCTAACTATTTTTAGGGTGAGGGGGTAGGTAGGGTTTAATTTTATTGGGATGGGGGTGACTAGGGGCTTTGGGACCCTAGTCACCTGTGGGGGGGGGGATTTTTTACATTTGGCCCCCACCCATCGCCAATGGGTAGGGGCTGGGGGACGCAAAAGGCCCCCGTTTTTGTCGTCAAGGGCCCCCACATGCCACTCATGGGTGGGAGCCAGAAGTGGGGAGGACAATAGGTCCCCCCTTTTGTTACTTAGGGCTCCTACCCACCACTCTTGGTTGGGGGTTGGAGGGCAGGTGACAAAAGGGTCCTCCCTTCTTTTGTTACTTAGGGCCCCCCCTGCCGCTCTTGGGTGGGGCCAGGGGGGGAGTCAATAGGTCCCCCCTCCTCTTGTTACTTTTAGCCCCTGCCGCTAATGGGTGGGGGCCAAGGGGGACATTAGGTCCCCCATTTAACTTAAAAACCCTACTGGCCGCTCACTATTTAGTAGACATGCCCCTACTCATAACATAGCAAGTAGGGGAAGAAGGCTATTATGGGGGTCATATTGACAGTGCCGCTTTAATGTCACCAGACACTCTGTCAGCATGTTAATGTAGTTGTTCTGGTGTCCTTAGCTTGTCCCTGCAGGCTTTTTAAAGGGACACTATAGTCACCCAGACCACTCAATGAAGTGGTCTGGGTGCCAGGTCCCTCAGGTTTTAACCCTTCACATGTAAACATAACAGTTTAAGAGAAACTGCTATGTTTACACTGAGGGTTAATCCAGCCTCTAGTGGCTGTCTTCCGGACAGCCACTAGAGGCGCATCTGCGACGCTGGAGACAAATTTCGCCTCCATTGCGCAGAGCGTCCTTAGGAAAGCATTTAGAAATGCTTTCCTATGGACTCTTAGAATGCATGCGCAGCACTTGCTGCGCATGCGGCTCCAGTGACATCGGATGGGGGAGCTGACGTTGGACGTGGAGGAGAGGTCACCAGCGCCGAGGGGCTCCCCCGGCGCTGGATAAAGGTAAGCTGCTGAAGGGGTTTTAGCCCCTTAAGCGCCACGGGAGGGGGAAAACCGCTTTGTTTTCCTGACACTATAGTGATCCTTCAACCCTCTTAAGGATAGAGGCAATTGTACAAGTTCTGATCAAAACCTGGAATTTGACTATTCAACCGTAATTTACCTATTTCATATTAAGTGCACTTACATATATAATTTTGTTCAGGAGAAACAGGGCTTTCACTTTATATGAAATATTTATATATGAAACAGTTGTATATGAAAATCTAAATAAGTTTGAGCCACCTCCCTGAAATTCATGTTTGCATGCTGGGATTTCTGTGTTTCCAACTCCACTTGGCCGGGTAAGACATTCTGCTGCCTGGATCCAAGACTTCACCACCTCCCTCCCCAGTCATATATATTTGTGTTCGGGGCAAATAGCCGTATATGGAGTAAGGTTCCAGCATAAGTGTAGGATAGTATAAAGGGAGCAAGTCGGTTGTGGTGTGCCTAGACCGACGATACGGTAGGCCTGTAAATAAAGAGGGCAAAAAGAATAATCAAAGATTTAATACAGTCAACAATATATACAAATTAACCAGACATTATCTTAGATGCATTACGGTATTTAATTCCTTGAAGGATTTTGAAGGTAGGAATCTAGGACCGCAACTGGACACCATTTGCTGTGGGTAGGATAGTATGTTATCTCTACTGTTGGTGCGTGTTGACTTGTTTCGGAATGTGGTAGAGCCAATAGGTAATGATATATGTGTTTACATACGTGGGATCGTTGAAGACAATGATCTGTCTGAGTGGTGGATTCTCTGGCCTGAGAAAGGCATAAAAGGTGCATGGCTGGTAATGGCCGACTTGGTAGTATAATTGAATGGTTGTAGCTCTAATAGGTCCGATAAGGATGGAAAAGTTGGATGGCTATTGGTAATCTCTGAGTGGAACGTGGGGGGATGGTATAGTATATTCTTGTCTGGTATGGTAGCATGAAGTTATGGTAGTTTTGGCCATAGGTTATCCTCTGTTGTTGAATGCCTGTAAAATATATAATTAATGGTGTGTGAGATGGTTTTAGTTTAAGGTGGCAAAAAATGAAGCAAAACCTAAGAGAAATGTTATGACACAGGTTGAGCTATGTCGTGTTCCAATGAGATTCTTTAAAGCCAGGTGAATAGCTGTGTTATGCGTTCTACAAGTATGGGATGAAAGTGCTAGGTGGGATAGTGCATGCTATGCTGCATGAGTATGTCTAATCCATGATTTTGTCTCTGGAACGAAAGAGTGGCCGTGACTGTATGGGCGGCTGTAAGAAGCGTATGATGAACATGCCTGGAATATAAATGAGACAATTGTCGGCAGGGATGTATACCCCCGCCTGGTACATGAAAGTAAAAGATATGTGGTAAGTGGCCAACCAAGTGAGTTCCCCAGCAATACCATGATCGTATGGATGATGAGTGGCATTTGTTGATGATATGACATGTGCTTAGTTGTCTGAGTAACAACGGATTGATGACCCTAACCATGATTTACTCCATGCCACAGCAGCTGCTTTTAGCGGGGAAAGGATTGCCCATTTTATGCCATGTAAGTGCCAGTTTGTAGGGTAGATGGTAGCCGTTTACTGTGTTGATGATATTGGTCTTACTTAACGAAGCTTCAGCCCATGCTTGAGTGATAGCTGTAAAGGTAGATCAATGGTGTGTATAGTAAGGAAACTCCTCGGAGGGTATGAGGAAGTTGAGACTTGGGGTAGCGAAGGTGTGTGGTGCCAATGAGTCTATGGTTAGTCTTTGTTTAAGGGAAGATTCCCTTGTGACAATACCAATGTGTTTGGTGCCATGCTGTAAATGGTGGAGATTAGAAAACCCAAGTAAAAAACCCCTCTGCAAATCTTGGTTATGTGTGTGTTTACAGCCGACGGTTCTGTTGTGCTGACTAAGTGAGGGCATGCTATATTCCTTGAGGGTTTATTTTTTATGATACATGTATGGGAGCCCTTTGAAGCTCCAGAGCCTTAGTAAATCTACTACAAGTCTGGAAGGATGAGGAGTCAGTACTGTTGAAAATGCATTGGTGTGTACAGATGTGAGTACGTTATTTGTAAGTTGTATTGGGACACATGGTTTGTCATGTGCCCTGAATGATTTGAACATATATGCAACAGTCTATATGCAATGCAACTACTAATACCAATTGTCTCTGGTAGTTCAGAGGTGCTGGTACCTGGAGCCTGAGAGTGCTCGTCCGTTTGTTTGGGAGAAAATCCCTTCTGTATGGGTACCTGCACAAATAAGCATCTCTACATATTCCAAATGACAACACAACCAAGGGATGGTCAGTTCCCGATTTACCTAGAATCCCTGGGTCTGACCATCATGGATACATCATCATACATATATATGCCTTGTTTCCCCAATGTGCCGGGATCATATGTGCATGGTTAACGTCTTGTACCAAGAATTGGTTGTACCAGGTAACCGAGTTTCGGTTGGTGCTGGTTGTACAGTAGCATGAGGCCCAGCCTTGTGAGGGCTGTAACCGACTCGAGATTGCCAGTCTGTCGTAAATTTTTTGGCTCATGAGTTTATGAGTGAGGCTAGCATGGCCTGGGTGTCACCTGAGTTGGTGTTGCTGGGCCTTCCCCTGCCTCCGTGTTGTTCGTTGATGTATGGAGGAGTTTGAATAACTCTGCTTTCCTTGCTGTGGCAGGGTAGGGGATTTGTCGCCTCCTTAGGTTGGAGCCACATCTCCTCTGCTTGAAGGTGTATCACTTCTAGCCGGGGTGCCAGGAAGAGCTGATTCTTCACCATCTTTTTGAGAAATACTTAAATAACAATAAAGATTGCAATTATTATTTGTACCCAGGGGTCTTGTACTGGCTTGCTAGCTAAGCCGTAAGGCGAAACGATTAGGCTTGGTGTTTTTTGGTGACTGGTGAGGCCCTGCTATTTGCCAAGTGGCTTGAGAGGCTCCATCTATGCTTGGCGCAAGGGGATTTTTTGTGGCCACCAAATGTTGTGGCAGGATGTTGGCCTCTCGGTGACAGTAACCAGAAAATAGGAAGGGGAGTGACAGGTGAGGCCCTCTCTATGATACAATGCGAGGCGGCTAGCTCACGAGTGGCCCGAGGGATGTATGCCTCCGAGTGTGAGGCGGGGTGTTGGCCTCGCGGAACCACTAACCGAAGCATAATGCAGAGAAAAAAAAGGGGGTAATACCTATTGGGCCCTAGAACCCTAATTGCCAGTACACTATTACTATTCCAGGGAAGGTAAGAGATGGATAACTACATGAGCAGGTGTACGTACCTGGTAGTATGGTATTGAACCTGACAATCCGTATAGGTTTTTTTAGTAGTAACTGTAACCTGAATGGATAAAATTGTATGGCATAAGGAAATATGGCATAGACAAAGCTTATCTTCAAACATACAGTATATGTGAAAGTAAAGTGATGTGATATGTATATATTAAACATCATATTCATACTGGTTAAATATGTATCAATCTTAACCCATTAAGTGCCGTATGTATGTGAACCATATTACCAGTTACGTAAATACAGATGCGTGTGCTACTGTGTAATAATATGTGTATTTATAACAGATGTTGATATACTGCTTGCTGTTAATTGTTGTATGCCTTATTGAATGGTCAGTGAACATGGTGTTGCAAAATGCAAGTGCACTGGAGATCTGCCGAGTGCCTATAGGTGGCAGTGTAGTTGATACTGATTGGTATGTGAAATGTTGTCTGTTGACCTATAGGGGTCAGTGTTTTGGTGTTTGTAAAACCCCATGAAAATTGTCAATGTACTTGACAGACCTGTAGGTGGCAGTGTTGATAGAACCACTGTTAGTCTTGATGTGAAATGTAAATTATTGTGAATTAAACCTGATGTTGAGCCCGTGTTGGAGTTTAATTTATGGTTATGTTTAAAACAATCTTATGTGTAATTTATATTGGCTGGTAATTGTATATGACATGTGAAGACAGTTTTGCTGTTGACCAGTAGGGGTCAGAAATGCTGATTGTATGGTAAAATACCCTTTAACACCTGAAGGACACATGACATGTGTGACATATCATGATTCCCTTTTATTCCAGAGTTTGGTCCTTAAGGGGTTAATCCAAATGCAAGGTTAACGTGAGATTTTGAGAGTGACCTGTAGGAGTCAGTGTGGTTTATGTGAAACCTTGTTCGTGAGCTATTCCCCAGCATTATAGTTGTATGACAGGGAAACAAACAGTGCCCGTTTGACAATATACAATAAGTGAACATAATAGCTTAATAACAGTCATTGTAACAAACCAAAGTTCTGTTCGTGGGTTGTAAACGCACGAAACGTTTGTGTAGTAAAATAGTAAATGCATGAACTAGTTCCCGTTTGGTAGAAAATTGCACGAACCGTGAGCCTGGTATGTCAGGGAAACAAAACGAATCGAGCAGTGAGATTTGAAATGCACGCACAGAATTGCCTAGTATGTTTAGGCAATTGAAACAGAATGTGTTCCCGTTTGGAAGTATGCTAATGCTCGAAATGAGCCAGTGACAGATATAAACAAGTGAATTTAAACGAATGATATGCATGAACATGCCATGGTTTTAGGACAGATTTAGACAAAATGCCGCCATAAAGTGAGGACCTGACCCGTGCAAGGGGCCGTGGGACTGATGCCTGGCGTAACAGGTAAGTCACCTTACGGTTTGTGAGTCACTAGGACACCATCCACAGCGATAGATTGAAGAAAGAATGTGGAAGGCCGGAAAAAGCCTGTGGCTGAATTCCTTACACAGCTCAGCTTAGAAAACCTCATGGAGTAATCAGGTAAAATGGCGTCTGGATGACCCAGAAGTGGAAATCATTCTGATGCTGACCTCAAGCGATATGAGTCAGTTAAGGGGTGTCCCTTATATAGGGGAGTAATTAATTTAAGCCACAAATACAGGCCAAACGGCCTTAAAACATATATATATATATATATATATATATATATATATATACACACACACCACCTCCCACCCCTGATATTAATGCAGTAAATGCCAAAAAACCTTATATATCATGCCAATGAGCAATGAATTAAAAAAAATTTGGTATACCATGCCAATGAACAATAAATACATAAACTTGATATATTCTGATAATGAGTAGTAAATGAATAAATCTGGAATATCATGCCAAAGAGCAGTAAATTCATAAAATGTGTGTATCTTTTCAATGAGCCTCCAAAAAGCCTGTAGTGCCATGTGCCCCCAAACAACCTGCCAGTGCCATCTCTCTGCTCCCAGCCTCTCTGTGCCATCTCTCTGCCCTTAACCTTGCTGTGCCATCTCTCTGCCACCAGCCTCTCTGTGGTCTGTCTCTGCTTCCAGTGAGGATGAGGATGACAGTGTGTGTGTGTGTGTGTGTGGAGAGAGTGTGAAGGGATGGTGACAGTGTGTGAGAGGGATGGTGACAATGTAGGTGGAATGTTGACAGTGTATGGAGTGGTGACAGTGTGTGGTGGAACAGTGTGTGGGGATGGGGACAGTGTGTGGGGATGGTGATAGTGTGGGGGTGATAGTGTGTGTAGATGATGACATTGTGGGGTAAGATTACAGTTTGGGTGATGGTGACAATGTGTGTGGGAAGGTGGCAGTGTGTGGAGATGGTGACAATGTGGGGGGGGTGATGGTGTGTAGATGATGACATTGTGGGGGTAAGGTGGTGAAAATATGGGGATGGTGACAGTGTGTGGGATTTTGACAGTGTGTCGGTTTGTGACAGTGTGTGGGGTGACAGTTTGGGAGGGGTGACAGTGTAGGGGGATAGTGACATTGTGAGAGGTGGTGACATTGTGGGGGAGGGCGGCAGTCTGTGGAGGTGGTGACAGCGTGTTGGGATGGTGACAGTGTGGAGAATGAGGGCAGTGTTTGGGGATGGTGATAATGTGGTTGGTGTTGACAGTGTGTGGTGGGGAAGGTAGTGTGTGGGGAGGCTGTGGTTTAGTGACAGTGTTGCAGTTGGTGACAGTGGGGGAAGATGGTGACCGTGTATGTGGAAAGGTGACAGTGTAGGTTATATCATGCCAATGTACATTAAATGCATAAACTTGGTTTATCATGCCAATGAAAAGTAAATGCAGTAAGTGCACTCTTTGCACTGGAGAGATCGACTTGCTTCCCTGTCAGTATTGATTTGAGACTCTTTTGCACTCAGACTATTGCAGGAACTGTTCCTACTTTGGATAAAGATGGTAATTTGGAAGTGTTCCTGTGTAGCTTTGAAAAGACTTGCAGACAGTACCACCTGCCATAGGAAAAATGGGCAAAGTTACTCACTGCTGGTCTCAGATGTCTGGCTTTGGAAGTATTTGCAGACTTAGTGTAGAGGTGGTACACTCTCACTGAGGAGGACTACAGAAAAAAATTCTGGACATTTCATGGAGAACTACAATGCAATTGTAGGCCAAATGATGACGTGTTCCGACAGTGGATCAAAGGACTGGAGATTAAAACCCTAGAAAGCTTTGGTGATAAAGGAGTAATTTTTGCAGCTGTGCCCAGCAGAGGTACAACAATGGCTGCTAGACTGGACACCCAAAATAGAATTAGAGGCGGATGAGCTGGCAGATTTTCACACATCAAACAGAAAAAGAGCATACAGGAGCAGAGGTTTTACTAAAGGGGCATCCAGCTGAACGATCACTCCACCTCCAGAGACCCCTTTTGTCTGCTATATAGTATTATATGTGTTTTAGGAGTTTTCTTATACTATGGGAGATAATTGTGTTAGCGAGTCTGTGTGTATAAAAGGTAAAACAGAAGGGAAGAAAATTAGTTTATAATACAATAGCTATTGTGCAATGGATCTTGATTTCAGCTCAATGAAGTGGTCTGTGTGCCAGGTACCTCTTGTGTTAACCCTGCAGCTATAAACATAGCAGTTTCAGAGAAACTGCTGTTTACACTAGGGTTAATCCAGCCTCTAGTGGCTGTCTCACTGACGGCTGCTAGAGGCGCTTCTCACTGTGAAAATCACAGTGAGAAGACGCTGGACGTCCATAGGAAAGCATTGAGAAATGCTTTCCTATGGGCGGTTTGAATGTGCGCGTGGCTCTTGCAGCGCATGTGCATTTGGCGCTGATGGCGGCAGGAGGAGACTAGTTCCCCAGAGAAAGGTTAGTGTTTTAACCCCTTCAGCCCTCTTCAGCTCAGCGGGAGTGGGACCCTGAGGGTGGGGGGGACCTTTAGACCCTAAAGTGCGAGTTTATTTTCCTGGCACTTTTGTAGTCCTTTAACCCCTTCAGGACCTAGGATGGTTCAGGGCCGTCCTCTGCATTTTTGCGTTGCCGACCGAGGAAGGTCCTGAACCGTCCTAACGGAAAACGGGCGGCAGGAGCGATTGGAGATCACTTCCGCAGAAATCCCATTGTTACTATCTGCCCGGCATCCCAGGCAGATAGTAACAGCCAATTGCTGCATGTGAGCGATCCGCAATCGCTCACAATTGGCTGGTGTCAAAGTGGGTGTTACAAACACTCACTTTGACACTGATCTCTGCCTCTCTCCCCTCTGTAGCGTTTTGTGAGTTCCAGAGTTTTCAGTGTGAATAATAAAGTATCAGCAGTGAATAAAAATCCCCTTTTAACCCCTTCCCTGCCAGATCTGTTACAGACAGTGCATTTGTACTGTCAATTTTTTTTTTGCCCTTAAGGGTTAACTTTATTTTAAAAATCTGTGTCTTAGTCTGTCGTAGTCAGTCTCCCTTCCCCCAAATCTCCATTAGATTCTTCTAACAGGAGTTAGTTTAGGGATTACTGTTTTAGTCTGTTTATAGTAAAACAAAAATAAAAAAAATATATATATATATATTTAAAAAAAAATTGGGTTTAGTATTTTGTTAGTTTAGTCTGTTAGTGTGAAACATGCACAGCTTGGAGGAGGCATATGCCTTCTTGGCGTCAGACTCTTACGCCACTGACACTGCTTCTGATTTTGACCCAGGTCAGTTTAGCGGCACGTCTAGTGACATGTCATCTGTGTGTGAGCCAGCTGCTAAAAGAAGCTGTGCTTCCCCTGCTATGCCGAATGTGGAGGAGGACTGGGTACCTCCACAGTCAGCTGAGCCCAACATCCCCCTTTTAGTGCCAACGCAGGCATTAATGTGAATGTGGTTGACTTCTCCCCTATACAATATATGGAGTTATTTTAGGGGATACCATCTGGGAGGAGATTGTTTCCCAGACTAATTTATACGCTAGCCAATTTACTGAGACCAATCCAGGTAGCTATACAGTCAGGGAGCATGCTTGGCATCCCACAGATGTCCCTGAACTTAAAAAATTCTGCGCTCTTACAATGCTCATGGGGATAATAAAGAAGCCATCAATCCGCTCTTACTGGAGCACCAACCCAATTTGTTCGACTCCAAATACTCCCAAACAATGTGTAGACCAAGATATGAGCTGCTGCTGAGATACTTACATTTCAACGACAATACCCTCTGTCACCCCAGAGATCACCCCCAATATGATAGGCGTCATAAAATACGCCCACTGGTAGACCATCTTCAGAACAGATTTTCTGAAGTTTATACTCCCCAACAAAATTTATCTATTGATGAATCCCTTATGAAATATAAAGGGAGATTAGTGTTCAAACAGTATATCCCCTCAAAGCGGTGTAGGTATGGCATTAAAGTGTACAAACTGTGCGAGAGCGAAAGTGGCTACACATTTGCCTTTTGTGTATATGACGGGAAAGATGCTCAAGTGAACCCTCCTGGCTGTCCTGACTCTCTGGGGACAAGTGGGAAACTTGTTTGGGACCTACTGATCCCCTTGTTCAATAAGGGGTACCACCTTTATGTGGACAATTTTTACAGCAGTGTCCACTTGTTTAAAATTCTTTATCGTTTGCAGACACTGGCCTGCGGCACTGTAAGAAGAAATGCCAACGATTTCCCCAGACCACTCATAGAGGCCAAATTAAAAAAAGGTGAATGCAAAGCTCTGCGCAAAGCTGAACTGCTTGAGCTAAAATTTAAGGACAGGAAGGATGTTCACATGCCAACACACATCCACAACAAAGGCATGTCAGTGTCGGGATCCCGCGGGCGGCTGCGAGGGGAGGCTGCACTCCGCTCGCAGTACTCACCCTCCAGCCGTCCGCGGTCCCCTCCTCCTCGTGGGCTCGGCGAGCGGCATCCTTCCAGCCGTTTCCTCTACGTCCCCCAGCGGCAGCATACATGATGCTGCACGCTGGGAGACCGCTCAAGTTATTACACGCCGGGGTCAGTCACCTGACCCAGCGTTAAAGGCACAGTGTCTCAATCACAGTGGGAGGTTTAGATATCTCCCACGTGTGATTGTTAATTCTGATTGGAAATTATCCAATCAGAATTAACCTTATGGTTTAAATACTTACCTTTCCTGTTCCTCCCTGCCCTGTTGTGGTCTTTGCTTACTTGTATTGCTACTTACCTTGTGCTTCTGGTTACGTACTCTCTGGCTTGTTAATCTGACTTTGTGACTTTCTCCTACCCTTTGACCTCGGCTCGTTTTAACGTTATTCTGTCTTCTGGTTCCCCTTACTCGGCTTGTCTCCTGACTATTCTGTGTGTGCTTAGCCCGGCCACTCTAAGGTCCGGTACGGCACCTTTTCTGTGTGTGTGTGTGTGTGTGTTGGCGTGTTAGGTTCCCCGATTCGTGACATTACAACAGGGCCATAATGGAACCTGCTGACATACCACAGCTCCTAGTTAATCAAGAGGCTAGAATGGATGGCTTGGACCACCGTATGGATCAGTTTGCTCAAGCTTTGCAAACCATACTGGCTCGTACTGCACACTTGCAACCTGCCGTTCAGGAGGCTGCTGCTGCTGTGCCCGAACCCATTCCCACTCCAGTACCCGTTCCCGCTCATGTAGTTCACATGACGCCGCCACAGCGCTACAGCGGCGACCCAGCATTGTGTCGTGGTTTCCTCAACCAAATCGACATCCATTTGGTAATGAATCCACGTTCCTATCCCACTGACACATCTAAAATTGCCTTTTTGATAAACCACTTGTCCGGGAGAGCTTTAGCATGGGCCAACCCCATTTGGGATTTTCTGACAGCTTTCAGACGCATGTTTGATCAACCCGGTAGGGTTGCTTCTGCTGGCAAGGCTCTGCTTAGGGTCCGACAGGGTAACAGATCTGTAGCGGATTACACTATCGAATTCCGCACTCTAGCAGCTGAAGTGGTTTGGAATAATGACGCCCTCGTAACAGCCTTTCAGGAGGGTTTGGCCGCTTATATACTGGATGAAATAGCATCCAGGGAATTGCCTGCTCTTCTAGATGATGTTATAGACTATGTGATTCTTATCGATAACCGTATTAGAGAAGGGAGGGGTTATGCCTTTATTGTGGGAAGAAGGGGCACCACTGTAAAGCCTGCCCTAAAGTACAGGGAAACTCCATCTCCAGACCGTTTATTACGGTTTCTCTTTTGGTCAATAAAACCACTATAACAACCAAAGCCCTGATCGATTCGGCTGCGGCAGACAACCTTATGGATGAGACCTTTGCCAAAACCGCAGCCCTGAATTTGATCCAAAAGGATACACCCTTGGCCGTTGAGGCCATAGATGGTAGACCACTGGAGAAACCTCTGGTGACCCATAAAACTCAGGAAATAGTTATGTCTGTGGGTGTTTTGCACAAGGAGAAGTTAACCTTCCAAATAATTGACTCCCCTACAGCCTCCATCGTTCTGGGTTTTCCCTGGTTAGTTAAACACAACCCTGTTCTTGATTGGGGTTATTTAGATATACTCTCCTGGGGGGAATCTTGTCAACGAGACTGTATGGCTCATGTACGTCCTGTTTGTTTACTTAACGTGCCCACGGCTAAACCACTCTCGGTTTCTGTCCCTTCTGTTTATGCAGACCTTGCCTTGGTTTTTGAAAGGAGGGAGGCAGATAAGCTACCTCCACATCGTGAGTATGATTGTGCCATAAACCTCTTACCAGGTACTATGCCTCCTAGGGGAAAGGTCTACCCTCTTTCTGAAAAAGAAAACCAGATCATGGAGGAGTACATACGGGAATCCCTAAGTAAAGGTTTTATTAGAAGGTCCTCCTCTCCTGCTGGTGCTGGTTTCTTCTTTGTGGCAAAGAAGGAGGGCGATTTGAGGCCATGTATAGACTACAGGGGTCTGAACAATATAACGGTTAAAAACGCCTACCCTATCCCCCTCATCACTGAGTTGTTTGATCGTGTTAAAGGTTCTAAATTTTTCACCAAATTAGACCTCAGGGGGGCTTATAACCTTGTCCGTATAAAGGAGAATGACGAGTGGAAGACAGCGTTCAACACACGCAGTGGGCATTACGAATATCTGGTCATGCCTTTTGGACTGTGTAATGCTCCTGCCGTGTTTCAGGACCTCATAAATGATGTCCTTAGGGATCTATTGCATGTCTGTGCTGTGGTGTACCTTGACGACATACTTGTGTATTCTCCTGATTTGAAGTCACACCATAACCATGTTAGGATGGTGCTCAAAAGGCTATTACAGAACGGACTCTACTGTAAGTTAGAAAAATGTCTATTCGATCAGACCTCTGTGCAATTCCTAGGATATATCATTACT